AGAACAATCTTCACCTGTTGATTGATTCAGTGGTTTTATTCAAAATACTAAATTAAGGTATCTACCAATCATGACAGACATCTGATTAAGACTGGTAGGGTGGTAGTAGCTACTACGGCTAAAAATTGGGAGGAGTATAACAAACAAGACGAACATATGCATCCAAAAAGAAAAGCCATGAGGATAATTCCTCATCTAAAAATTTAAAATAAATATTTTTTTCTCTTTTGATTTTTAAGTTATTAAAAAAGGAACACTTTCAAAATAATATATGCTAACAACCTTCTGTCAGAATATATATATATATATATATATATATATATATATATATATATATAATAAAATATAGTTTTAAGCTATATTTACGAGTTAGCATGCTCAATATCAAGGATAGAGCGTATGTAAATATAAAAGTGGACATTGAAGTCAAAACCCAGATGCGGCAGTCTGTTTCATGGTTAAACACAATTGCCACTCAGCATGAAATGATTGCCTGAAAATTGTGTTTAGCATGAAATGGGCTCTGGGTGTTGGCTTCAATGTTCACACACGCACACACACACACACACACATATATATATTTATTTGAAACAACCTTTTAAAAAGAGTGACTCATAATTTGTAAAGGACAGTGAGTGTTATTTGAGAGATTTTAACAAATCTTTGTAATTAAACATGGAACTCATCAAGTCAGAGTATAATCACTCTGATTAAATATTTAAATGACATTGAATCATGGATGCAAATCTTATCAGTTGCTCAAAATCTGGCAAAAGTGTGACTCATAAGAAAGAAGAATAAATCTTTATAATTTTATATTGAGATTTTATATTTATTTGTAGATGAAACAAATATTTATAAATGTATGAGTGGAGGTGGAAAATATCTGTATCCATCAGTGTTTATATATGAAGGAATATCTAAATGTTTCTAATACTTGGGTTAAATAGTTCTATAACTATTGATTACAGTGGATAGAGAATACAAAAAAAAAAAAATTAAATTAATCAATCATATACAGTCACCAATCTCTTTCAAAAATGTCTGTTCAAGTGAAGCAGGCTCACATAAATCTGAGAAAAACATGTATCAATACAGATATTTTAATATCCTCCATATCTATACAAGTCTCTTTTCACCTTTTTCCAACAATGATTTTTAACTTTAAAGTATTCATTTTTACAAGCAAAATTTAATGATAAAATTTCTCTTTGTCAGTTTTTGAGTAAAAACCCTTCAGGCTTCAACCAAAGACTTTTGACTATTATCACACACATGCACAGAAAAAGTTCTGAAATAAAAAGAAACTAGTTTTAAATCCAAAACATTTTAGTAGTTGACCGTGACTATATTAAAGGATAATGAAAAGTTCTTGGCTTGACCATGAAGGTCTTCCCCACCAAAATTCTGATTTTGTTCATTTGGTCAGATTTTGGAAATATGTATATGATAACAGATCAAATCAATTAAAATCAGAAGCCATGAGAGCAATGCCTGGTGTTACCAACAGGCCATTTATTATTATTATTATTATTTAAGGTTTATATATCCCACATTGTTTCAGTACTAATTTCGTTAGAACAGGGGCTAAGGTGAAATATACTGGTTGTATGTTAATCATTGGGACTTGTAGCTCATAGAATTTTATATTTCATCTGAGTAAACTATAATCCCTTTTAATTAAAACTACATTTTTGATGTCAAAATTACAGTCATGAATGTTTTGGTGGAACACAAGTGTATTAAATTTGTTGTTCAATTTTAAATCCATTATGTTTTGTCTATTGTTTTCTTTAATTCTCAGAATGTTTTTTGTTGATATATAATATATTTTAGGGGGGCATTGCTTACATTCTATTTGATAGATACCTGCTTCTGAATTCTTTAAAAATAAGTAATTGTTTTAATTTGATTATATTTTTTCACTGTTTTTGAAGTATTTGTGATAATTTTTCTGTTGTGATTAGCTAAGTTTCTTTTACACTTTTCTTTATTGATTATTGTTTTTTTTTGATTTTGTATGCTATTCTTCTGGCATTGTATATGAAATAATTGGAGTAATGAATGATTTAAAAAAAATATCTTCAATTTATTTTCTCTTCATCTGGTAGATATTCAGGTCTGCAAATTCTGAAGGCTCTTAAATAAAAACATAGAATTCCAAAGTTTATTCTATTGTGATGTGAATAAAAATTTATTTGTTGACTTATGGTAGGTATTTAGTTTTAAATCAGTGTCAGTCTGAATAAATAGGATACCAAGAAAAGTTATTTTTTTTATTTTTCATCTGTGAATTCTACTGTCAGTTTAATTTTGTCTAGTTTATTTATAAGATTTATTAATTTAGTTTCATGCTGATATATTAGTTAGGCATCAATTATATTAGAGGGAAAAATATTTTGAAACGAGCTAAGAATTTTACAAAGAGGCAGGCTAAAACATCATTGATAAGAAAATCAAATTTTTGTTTATAAAACCTATTATTGTATGCAAAAAGTTGACTGATTTTTATGACTTGATCAGTAGGGAAAGTTTTATTTTTGATTTTGTGAGGTAGTTCTTTGGAATGATTCATGTGAATTGTTTTTTTTTTTTTTCTCCCTTATGTAGATTTTAATTCTTGTGAAATAAAATCTTTTCTTATGATGCTGGCTCATCGGTGAAACATTCCAAAATAGAAATTTCCAAATTGACTCCTACATTTACTGTGTGCATAATATATATGTATTATATATAAATAAAGAACAGTGACTTTTTTGTTTCTGTCCATAACATTAGACTTGCTTGTTGTTATTGATAATTAACAAGCCTATTTCACTACTAAAAGAGTAACGAGAAAATCCATTGCTCTAGTAATATAAGGGGTACTTGGTACCATTCAAATTGAACAGATGTCTTATTAATATGATGTAATTTTAGAAATTATTATATTTCAGGTTTGTGTGTCTATGTGTATGAGTACACACAAACAAATATATGATGCCTTTAGCTAATATTCTTAACATTCTGCATGTTTTCTCTCTGTTCATATTTTTCTGACATTCCTAGACAATTTTTTCTTGTCAATGTTTTCAATATCTTTTTTGTCTTTTGATCTATCTCTATTCAACTTTTCACAATTTCCAACATTATGTTCTCATCACTCAATAATTTTATGTCTTCTTTCTCTTTTGAGGTTTTATCTTTCATCCACCCTATGGAAATCTTTATAGATCTGAGATTAAAAAAAATAAATATGACTATACTGTTATATATATTTATTTACAATACGATAAACAAAACCTTGAGTTGTATGATAAAATCTCTTGCATAACCAAATAAATTATTGTAAATATTTCTTATAAAAACAGATATAATCTGGAATTCACATGGTATATTTATCTGGAGAATAGAAGTATACCTTGAAAATTTTAACAAAATTAGCTGCTTAATATCAATTTTATGAAAACATTCATTTGTATAATAATATTTGATATTATTTGTATGTCCAGGGTGTGGTAGAAATACCTCTCACATATACCTCTTATGGTCTTATCACACCAGTATGTGGGAAGTATTTCTGCTGCACCCTTTATATATAAATAGCTGGCCACTCGTATTCAAGGATACCCGTCTATTAGGGCGGCTAACCAATCCCTATTGCAGAAGCTGGCTCAGGCATATTTGTGTTTGTTCAACACACAGAGCCCATGTGTGGTTTATACTGCAACTATGCTGAGCAGACCTTAGTTACAGTTTCTAGTCTTGGAGAGAGTGTTTTCTAGCATGATCAACAATCTGAACAAGGCCAGCACACTCAAACCCTCGGTCATGATGACTTGTGACTTTGTGTTAACACAGCTATCGATGGCCATCAAGGGTTCTGTCTACTGAATTTCACTCACAAGGCTTGGATCAAGCCATGGTATGGTTTTCAGGCACTTTTCAAAGGTGCTGCATGCTGAGATTGCCCCCCTCCAGACCAATAACATCAGGAAGTCTACTTCCTGACTAATCAACCATGGTGAAATTTGAACCTGGGTTTCATGGTCAGAAAGCAAATGTTCTAACCACTCAGCCACATGCCCATACCCTTTATATATATATATATATATATATATATATATATATATATATATATATATATATATATATATATATATATATATATATATATATATATATATATATATATATATAATCGATATCCTCCATGCAAGGCAGTAAAGCCACTAAGACACAAGGGGTTACAGGGTGTAGAAGAATTAATTAAGAACAGAAACATTAATAATGAGCAGGAAGATAAAAGAATAATAAGGAGGAGTGTAGATAGTAATTGACATTGCATTTAAATTTTTGCAGATTAAAGTTGGCTGGGAAGCATTGAGCTGGAAGGGAGTTCCACAAGCAAGAAGTGCGAGAAAATAAATTTAACATGGAACTTACATCTACATCTAGCCACTTCAACTGTAAATTGATGAGATCTTGATACCAGTTCTTTTATTTTTTCTTTATATATATATATATATATATATATATATATAATGTGTGTGTGTGTGTGTACACACATCGAAGTGGCAACCATCACACATGTACCCACAAATATCTGTCTACAAATATATTGTTTGCATTTCTATTGTGTTGTCAGTATTTAACTTTAATAGTAATTGTTATTTTTTTTCTTTTTTCAGATTCATTCATTTGCTGAAAGCAAGGAAAGAATGAAGTCTGGTTTACAACCAGTGAATATTTAAAATTGGCCACAACCAAACTAGAAATACCTCCCAACCCTCCCATTTTAATTAATAAGCAGCATAACCATCACCACCTCTTCCACCACCAGTTACCTACATTGGCAGTCTATCTAAAATCAAGTCACAATAGTGTGTCTCCCAGGCATGGATCTCCTGTCCAAGAGCTGTTCCATGACTTTTGCTCCCCTGAAACTAACCAACACTGGTATACACTAACAAGATGTAGTATCAGCAAAAGGCCTGAGTGAGGTGGCCTGATTTCCTACTATGGCCAAAAGGACAGAGTCACGGACCTTTAACATTAGTGTTATTGGTCTGTCAGGAACTGAAAAGGAAAAGGGCCTCACTGGTGTTGGAAAGTCCTGTCTATGCAATCGTTTTATGCGGCCTTTAGCCAATGACTACCATGGAGAGCACATCTCTGTGTTAAGCCAAAGTGATTTTGGGGGTCGTGTGATCAACAATGACCACTTCCTTTACTGGGGAGATATTTGCAAGACCGATGAGGGAGTGGATCACACATTCCATGTGATAGAACAGACTGAATTCACAGATGATGTTTCCTTTCAGCCATTTAAAACTGGCAAATATGAGCCATACAGCAAAAGATGCATTAGCACTAAAGTGCAGTCTGCTGAGAAGCTTATGTACATCTGTAAAGAGCAACTGGGTATGTATCGTGGCATCAATATTTTTTTGATTTCTTAACTAAATTTCATTTATTAGAATCATAATAAGCACTTTTTCCATCTTGCTCTATTTTTAATACATTAACATTCTTTATTACCTAGGCAGCTGAAGTTTCAGAGAAACAATGAGGAAGGAGGGCCTGGAGAATCTGATACTCACAGGTCAAATAGAAGGAAAGAGATACAAGGGAAAGCAGTGTGTAACATTCCTGGTAGGCTTAAGCAGGTGGCTGACAGAACGTGGTCTGGGGGAGATAACAGAGAGAAGGAAGTTGTTGAGAGCTGCAAGGGATAGAGGGAGATGGAGAGCCATGATCACAAAAGACCTGAAAGGACATGGTACATAAAAGGAAAGAAAAGATTGCTTAGGCTAATATTATTCTGTTTCCTTCATTATAATCAGGGCAGGATTATGACTTTTGGAGGCTAATGAAATTAAGCCCCCTCCCCTCAAATGGATCCATCCTCTAACTTATGCATACCTATTTTGAATATATTTTTATGGAGTGAGTAGCCATGGTCAAATCCAAAACACCAGAACTGTCCAACAAACAAAATTGACAAAGTTTGCAATAAACAATAAGAAAAAGAAAAGAAAAATAAGAACAGGGCAAATGATAATATAAAGCAAGCAAACAATATATGCAAGGCAAATTAACAGTAATAAAGCAAAAGTAATATGACAAAAAGTTCACAAACTAAGAATTGTTGTTGACACACAAAATCAAGTTTGGACAAGTGTATGTAGCGTTCTGACTTCAAGACAAGACAGACCAGGATGGCATCAGGTCAAACTGAGAACCGGCTTATTTTACTGGCTCGGAAAAAATTTCAATGAGCATTTGTGTGCTTCTGCCCATAAAAGGTGGGGTGGGGGGGAAGTGTTTTGCAATCATTCCTAATAGGATTGAAATTAACAATTCTCCTTTTTTTTTTTTTTTTAAATATCATTTCATCCCAAGCAAGGCAATAAAAGCCACCAGGATGCAAGTGGTTACTGAGTGTTTAGAGAATATGAGAAAAACTACTATTAAGGAGAGAGGACAATAAAAGAAAAAGACTTAAGAAGATAATGATTGACATTGCATTTAATTTTTTGAAGATCACAGTTGGCTAGGAAGCTAGAAGCTGGAAGAGAGTTCCACGAGCAAAAAAGTGTGATAGAAGAAACTTGTGATGTACTTTAGCGACATTTACATAGCTTGAATTAAACATATTGCACAATCTTTAAATAAACTAAAATATCTTATCTTTTATTTGTCAATAAAAATATTCCTTAAGAAATACTACTATTTTACTATTTATTGCAAACCAAATTATCACATATTTCAACACAACTATATTAAAAAAAAATTTATAACTAGTATTATAACAATAAAAAGTTAAAATAAATATGAGTTTGTCATATTGACATCATTTCATTTTATGAAATTATTTAGACATTATAAAATCTAGAAAATTAAAATCACTGCTTTATAAACATTTCTAAGATTTAAACATTCTGAATTAAAATCAAACATGTTATCTCCTTGAAACACAATGACACAAACTAAAACATTCTTTTCCTTGCTTTGCTTCTTGTCATCTTTATATAATTTCATTTTATGAAATTATTTGGAAATTATAACATCTAGAAAATTAAAATCATTGCTATATAAAAGCTTGAGAGGCTCTAGGCTACAGCCTATATTATCCTAAAGGATAATCTGACCCTGATTATAATGCACCACCTTGGTGAAAGATAATCCCTTACAGTGTTTCCAAGCTCAAATTTGAAATTCTGTTTTCCTTGTATTTTCAAACATTATTTTTATATTCTCAGTGATTCTGTAGCCTAATGATGAAAAAAAAATTTACACACAGAAAAAAATTCAACATAATTTCTTTCTTTGTTAAGGCACCTGGCCCAACGCTGCCCCCATTAATCACATAAATCGAGCATTACACAAGGAAAATTTTAGATCAAAATTCAGTTAATAACTGCATTGATCTGCATACTTATTGATTCGCTTTTAATCTCCACATAACACATACAGATTCATTTCTTTCTATTTTTCCTTCAAAGGTATGAAATGATGGTCTCATAAGAATAGGATTGGGAATTCAAATCTCACTGTAGATGTATCAGAATCATTTCTAAGAGTGTTGAGCATTTCTTAATAAAATTTTTATAACATTGAAAAGGCTCTGAGTTTCAGCCACATTTACAAAGTACTTAGCCAGTCATATATCATTTTCTTCATTTTTCTCTTTATTTTTGGTATAAGTACACAGGTCATAAAGTCTTAAATTGATTACCTAACAATCTAGAAATAATGGAACTATTTATGAAAACTTATATGAAAGGGGGAGTTTTAAAATTCTATTCTTTATACATTTTATTTTTTAATCATATGCCAATGGGTAAACATGGATAGGACAATGGGAAACCACTTCCCTATCTTTCCCAAGAAGTCAGGGTAATTTATAGGTAATAAAGAAAAAGGAGTCTTTGGAGAGCCATGATTGCTTATATCTAAAAGGGACATGCCATTAAAGAAAAAATTCAGAATAAAGTTTTTGTATATCTTTTACTCTGTGATTTTATTACTTGTATAGCTCAGTATTAATTTTAAAATCAGTAAGGGACTTTATGACCACTTGTGTGTGTGTGTGTGTATAGACATATTTATAAATAATATTCCATTGCTAGAATTACTTTTTGGCGTGTATTCATTTTCTACTTGCAATACTAACATGAGCAGGGAAATAATAATTTTCTCTTCATAAGTTCATTTTTATTTTGCTCACCCATTACCAAAATTCAGATAAAACTTGGGATATTCCAAAAAACCATTGAGCTGGCGGGATTTGTTTATACACCAATTTATTTTCCATTCCTTTCTAGTACAAAAAAAGATGGCTGTTATATTTATTAGGGAGGAGTATGATTGAGGGATATGGTTATTGCTGCTAAGTAATTATAGGAGACACCAGTATCCGTTGTACTGATAACTGCTGAACATGTTGTTTTAGCAATATTGGCCAGGGTATTTTCATGTCTCTTTCTTCTCCTCTTTATATATGCCTACCCTCCTCTCTTCTAATACATTTTATGCAATTTAGCAAGCAATTTGCACAGCAACTCTCATTTCCCTAAGTTGACTGTCAGAGTTTTTGTGCTTGATGAAATTTAAGTTGTTGGTTTGGCTGGCATTTTGAAATAATATAAACAGTGTTGTAAGGATGAGTGGCATGGAATGAGGGTGGGGAATAAAATAACGACTGGAAGGAGAATAAGGTTTGTTTGTAGCATATTTAGTCCAATTGTTTTTAAGGGGATAGGCACTAAACAAGAATATATGCTTTCTAACTTCTGGCTTTTAAAAAGATATCAAACACTCTTGTTTGAAATATATCAATTTTGATCATAAATTATAAAACATAAGTACAATAAAAAAAATGTATGAGATGAGATCAAAAAGTTCAAGAGCTGATTGAAGTTAGTGTATCTGAATGGGGTAAAAATGGCAAGTCAGCTGAAACCTAAATTTTAGGTTACATAACTTATAAAAAATTCCTCTTGACAATGCACTTCTTGGAAGAGGAGTAACTGTTTTCATTTGAACAAATTGAGACCATTAAGCAATTTGTTTTCCTTATACTCAAGCTGTGTATATATGTGTGCATAAAGTTTGGTAATAAATATGTAAAAAGAAATTGTATAATCATTTCAGATGATGCAACAAGTCTTTGGTGACAATGGTTTTAACAACATGTATTTAAATGACAAATAATTAGTTGTTTATATTAGGTATCAGATGAAAATATTACCACTATGCAAAAATAACTTTTTTGAAAACTTGTCTGCTGTGTCAGTTAAACAACTGACCAAAACCTTTGTTATTTTATATATTGTTCTTATTTATCAGTTTTGACCAAAAATTGTGAATGCATTGTTACAACAAAGATTGTTTTGTGTGTACTGACAGCATTTTACAAAGAAACCTTTTAAATTTTAAGTTATCCTTACTCTTGTAAAATGTGAGTTTGTAGGCATCACTTCAAAACTCAAAGTGAGAATGATTTATCATTTTTACTTGTTCAAATCAAAACATTTTCTCTATTTGAACCATCACCTGTTAAATTTCTATAAGAATACAACTGCTTACTTTTCTCGTTTATTTTTCCAAAGCTTTTTGATTTCATTTTGTATGCATAATCTAAAGTTTTGTAAAGAAAGCAAAAATGATTGATATTTCATAAGCTGAGCCTGGCACAAGTCCACAAGCATGAAAGAGTCATATCTATTGCTGTACTGCAATAAGAACTACTAAAATGTTTACAAAGCCCAGCTTAGATTGGAATAGAGCTATAATTGTACATCACCCAGTGAGGATCAAACTCACTACCTATAGAGAAAGACTTTTATTAACATACAAATCACCACTTTGTAACAAGTGCTCTAATTATGAAACTTAGTATGGTACAAGGCTGGAGTATCTTGCTAATTGGCTTGTGTAATAAACTTTTTTGCCATTGTTCTGCAGCAATCAGTTTATCTATGCTCTGCTATACTTCTTGTTTCTATCTATGACCATTACATGTTTGTTTCTATCTCAGATAGGAGGAGTTTAATATCGTATTCATATTCTTGGCCCTTCTGAGCTGGAATCATTTAAGTTTTTTGATATGGAAATAATACATAATAATAAATAGAAAGGAATTAAGAAAGTGAAGGAGATATTAGGTGGGGTAAAAGGAGGGTATGAAGTTGGAAAGGTCACAGATAATAGAGACAAAACTGAAAGGGAAAAAAAAAAAGATTGTGTGTATGTAAAAATTTGTGTATTTAGGCAGCAATCTTTCTTTCATGCACATTTCACTGAATACAACAGACAGGGTGCTTTGATTTTAATTTTTTATACAATTTCTCATGTGACCTAATAATTTTTTCTTTTCGGATGATAAATTATATAAAAACTGTCCAATTGTTCTTTTTATCTGAATGTTTTCGGTTATACATTTAGCCATTTTGAAAGTTGAAATATTTTAACTGTTAACAAGAAATAGTTGTATGCATGTATTTATATAATGTTTTCATTTTTCAAAACCTGGTCAAGATATTGTGTCCATGTTCATAGTTATTATCAAGCGTTGTTTTTATTAATAAGGCTTCCATTATTTTTAGCCTTTTATTGCATGTAGATGATGCTATTTGTGTTGTTAAGAAGTATGTTACGAATAGGGTCTGGTAGGTCTCCATGAGTATTTAAATGAGACCTAATATATATAATTTCAATATCCTTGCTTTCTCCTCCCCTTCTATTACACTTTGCATTGTGAGTTTATTTATTTTTAAATAATAAACCGTTAGGAAATTATTTAGCCCAGATTGCCTGAAGATGCCGAAAGATTGAAACCAAGGTAGAGTGATCGGCTGATCTAACTATTTAAAAAATATATATGAGAGAGAGGAGAAAGAGAGAAAAGGAAGAGATGGAGAGGAAAGAAAGACACAGGAAGACAAGTTTCCTTGCTCAATATAATCTGATAAACAGAACATTGAAAGAGAGGTAAGGATGGAAATGCTAAAAAAAAAAAAAAAAAATGGCAATCCATTAAAAGTGCTAAAGAGGGATAAAACAGAATGTGGTAAAACTATTTTTTTTTTGCATTTGAACTTAAACCATGGATGGGCAATGAAGGTTGGAAAGGATAAGAAGATGCAGTCAAATGGTGAAAGAACAGAAGCATAAGGTAATGGCTAACCTTAGTCTAAGTTTACTTTTATTAAATTTAGCAAAAATATAAGTATACAAGTATTGGGCACCAAGTACAAATGAAACTAACTAAAATACTAATGGTCTATAAAAATAACTTTTTTTTTTTTTTTTTTTTTTTAAGCATTGTGCCCCAAGCAAGGCGTGAAGCCACTAGGATGCAGGGGGGTTTGGAGCGAGAGCAGATAAGAGTGATAGGAGAAAGGGAGAGGAGAAGGATAGTGGGTAGATCAAGGTAACTGGAGATGTCGATTGACATTACATTTGAATAGTTGGAGATTATAGCTTTCGGGGAAACAGTAATTGGGGAGGGTGTTCCACTGGCGAGAGGTGCGAGGTATGAAGCTATTGGAGTAGAAGAGACGGCTACATTTGAAGGTTTCTCTGGTGTAAGGGTGAGGCGTGATGCCAGCCTCGTGGGCGCTTGAATTCATGGAGTCTGGGAACCAGAGAGAGCAGCTCATCAGAGCAGTTACCATGGAAGTATTTGTAGAAAAGACAGAGAGAGGCTACTGGCGTCTGTGAGAGAGTGACTGTAAGCAAGGCGCTAGATCTGGGCCAATTAGATTACATATCCTTCTCTGGATCTTGTCGAGAACTCCGAGGTAAGCAGAAGGTGCTCCAGCCCATATATGGCAGCAATACTCCATGCAAGGGCGAATGGTTGTTTTATATATTTGAAGTATGAACTTACAAATGCATTTGATTTGATATCCTCTCCAGCTCTCAGATGATTTGGCCAAGTGATGATCATCATCGCTAATTTCCTACCCACAGCTTAGAGACACAACACTTTTCTCAGCACCTGCACACTCCCAATGATGTTGGGTATTCCCAAGTTGTCCTTCAAGTTAGAAAGATTCCTGGAAACAGCTCCAAGTGTGCTCATTACAAAAGGGACCACTTGAGCTGCTGTTTGGTATATTTCTTCAATTTGCCCTGCTATATCTTGATACACCTGTATTTTCACCTGCTTCACCATCACAATGTTCTTATCCCAAGGTACTGCAACATCTATCAGGATATATTCATGGCTGCTCTAGTGCAACAAGTGTGATATCAGGGCAATTGCTCTCCAAGCAGTCAAAATGATTTTATATCACTTGTGTTACACATGCTCATTTTCAGCTACTAATTATTATTATAATTATTGTTATTTTCTTAAACATTTGATTGGATTCTAAATGCAATAAAACTCTCTCTGTTCATTCCAAATAAGTGAGTAAAAAGTTGTTAGCCCTCTTCCTTGTGATTTGTACAATTTCAGGGCATTTCTGTGTCTCTTCTCATTATTTGAGTCCAAGTAAAGATGAGAGTTTGATAATAAAATATTTCTTGAGCCACTGAAAGATTGGAATGCACATGTGGTTTTATATCTCTACAGTTCATACATGTAAAATGAGAAATAATTATATAGAATATAAATAAACTTTGATAGCAACAGTTTTTAGTCACATTGATAAGAACAGTCATTTATCACCATTTTCAGTTTTAGTCCATGACATCTCAAGCTGAAATTCTATAGTGCATTGTTGTTGGAGTTTTAAAAACTTAGGTTTTGTTTTCAACCATTTCTTTTTTATATTTTTTAAAGAATCAGACAAGTGGTATAAATGTCAAATATAATGTAGATTTTCAACCTACTGGAATCAATACCAGCTACAATATTTGATGAGATTAGACGTCATTTTTAATTTTGATACAAAATGATTCACTGTTATTATATCAATAAAATTTAACGAATAAAAAAATACAATAAATTAACTGAATCTCATCTTTTAAATATTTATTCTTATTTTAAGGTGCAGATTTAGTAAGTCAGTTGGTCTTTTCCTTTCATCTATACCTAAGGACAATTTTTTTAAAAAGTTAACCATTAGCACTCTGCATTATTAATATTACTTCCTTTTCCACTGCATTCTTGTCAAAGCCTCTCAATATCCTTATTGTTAATTTCATTTAAAGTTGTTTTCTGTTACCATAGCAGGATATTACAACATAAGTATGAAATTCAAACACACTATTGTTCTAAGATCAGTCACCTTTTTGTACTGCAGATGAAGTCACATACAGAGTGATAAAGGTTAACACCATATAAATTAAATACAGTTCTAGAATGTTTTAAGTGTGGCCTAAACGAGTTAATTCCACTTGATCGAACCAATTTTATTTGACACCACATAATCTGACATGTTTCAAGAGATCAAATCCAAAGGAAAGCAGTTGCATAATAATAAGAGTTTGATAGCCATAATCTGCAGTATTTGTACTTTTGAGCAATTCTTAGGTTAAATGAATTAAAATTATTGATAACTTAATTTAGTAATTCTTTTAAAAAGACAATTTTTATTTTAATAGGGATGGAAACAGACAGTGCTTATGAACAAAAGCTGATGCCTGATGGGAAGCTGAACATCGATGGCTTTATGGTGCTTTTTGATGTCAGCTCTGTTCACAATCGACCTATTGAAAGACAAGTGGAGTTTGTCTCTAACATTCTTCAGTCACTGCAGAAGATCCGCAAACCAGTGGTATTAGCTACCACCAAGCATGACGAAGCAGTTGAAAGGTTCTGCAAAGAAGCAGTGGCATTGGTTACCCGAAGTAAAGTTAACATCCCCATTGTTGAGACGTCAGCCCTTGAGAACATCAATGTTGAGCTGGCCTTCATGACCCTAGCTCATCTGATTGATGGGACAAAAGTCCGCAAAAAAATAATTCCGTTTGCTGATGCATACCGTGCCCGCAAAGACGTTTTAGAGGTGGCCACTAAGGCTTATAAGAAACTGCTCAATACTCAGGTAACAGATCCCAAAGCCTTATGGACTACTTGGAAGAAGAAGTTTATGAAAGAATCAGACTATATCCATTATGTTGACCTGTTCGGCACAGAGCAGGCAATGGAACATTTTCGGAAACATACCAAGCAATTACGTGAGGAGCAGCTTCGGAGACGAGAGCTGCATTATTTGGATAGCTTACCTTCAGTATTACAACATTTCTTTCCTTCTTTGGATGTCATTTCTGACAAGTAAGTTTTAATTTTTTTATTTTCCATCTAGCTCAGCATTGTGACTACATTGTTTTTTGATGGTTAAATAAAAAATAAAAATTACATTTTAAATTGTTTTGCCACAATACAGAAAGTATTTACAAGTAAAAATTTGAAAAGTGTGTCAAAGGTTTTGTTTTGAAAATCCAAATCAAGCTTTTGTCTGCATTATTTTTGAGATGGTCTAAAAAAGTTTTTGACATGGTACAATGAATTCATTCATTCTACCTTATAGAACACATTAATGAAAATAAAGTTTTTAGATTTGATCAATCTGGGATGAAAATCTGTAAATTTAGAAAGCTTTTCCGTAATTTAAAATATATATATATATATATATATATATAAACACACACCAATAGAAATATCGTGGCTATAATAAACTCTGGTGTGAAGTGAAGAAGAAAAAAGTGTTTTGATATGACAAAAATTTAAAAATTGTGGTAGGTGCTGTCATTTGCATTGTGTCTATTTTCTGTATGAAAAATATGGTTGTTCTTTGTGTATTTAATACAAACCTCCATTACATGGATGAAAGATTAATTCAGGTTGTACTGTATAAATGTTAAATGATAAATTAATCTATCCACCTTTACAATGAGGAAGTGCTGAAAATTTATTAACCCAACCTCATTCTTGATATTTGGTAATTGAATGTCTGATTTTGGGAAGTAGGTTAGACTAAAAACAATTTGGCACTCCTTTGTACAATGTATTGATACATGACAATTGCTATTTTTATCTCTTTAATATCAGAGTTGTACTTTTCTTTTATAGGCCATTGTTTTTATCTTTTTATAAAGCTGAAATAAATATTTAAAAATAAAATGTTTGAGGGAGAACAGATTGAAACAAAGTCGTTTTTTATTATAGTTTAAAGATTATTTACATTATTTGGACTATTGTCCTCATCTTTGTCGCCATATTTATTACAACATTTTGGCCATTGTACGCTCCAGCTTTCTTCAGTGGTTGGAATGTTGAACTGAACCCTTTATTTTGCTCACTGGGGTAGACTGTTCTAGTTCCATGTGCCATGTTTAATGGATGTCAGTTATCAGTTATCTCCTGTTAATTCCCCTCTCCAAGTTCTCCACTGTGCCATGTGTTCTCAAGGACACATGGTACAGTGGTTAAAGGTGTTAGTTAGATCCAGTGATAGGACCCAAAGAGTGTGAGTTCAATACCGTGTTAAGGCAATGGAGAACTTTCAGAGGGAAATTAACAGGAGATAACTGATATCCATTAAACATGGCATGTGGAACTAGAACAGTCTACCCCAATGCGCAAAATAAAGGGTTCAGTTCGACATTCCAACCATCTGAAGAAGGCCGGAGTGTACAATGGCCAAAACGTAATAAATATGGTGACAAAGATGAGAACAATAGTCCGAATAACGTAAATAATGTACATAATACTTCATCTCAGAAATATAGACAGATACAGTTTAAGGATATTTCCATTGGTGGTGTTATATTTTCTCGAAATGCAAACAAAATATATTTTCAATAACTGCTTCAGATGAAAAAAGGTTTTGAATTGTATAGCGATGATAACCACTTTGTGAAAACAAGGCTTTATAAACAACAAACAAATTGAAGATCTATTGACATTTACTGATTTTGATGCATGGTCTTTATTTCACAACTGAAGGAAAAAAGAGGGAAAAACAGGAATCAAGGACTAAGGAGCAACTGGATTTGTTTCTATTTTATAGTAACTCTTTTTCTAAAATATATTGGCAACAATGACTAATATAAAAAATACTACCCTCATCATACATATATTAAATTACTTACAAACTGACTGTAATGCTTTCTATTTTATTATGTTGATCGGTGGTCACTTGGCTGGTAGTATGATAGTAGAGGTTCCTACCAAAGACTTATGAAGTTTTTCTTTGCCTTCTTACAGATAGCAGCTGAAACAAAAGTTTGGCAAAATGACATCTAGCATGAAAGTGCAGATGAAACAGAAGTGTGTCATTGAATTTGTCCATGCAGAAAACATTGATATTTATCAACACTTATTGAAAGTTTATGAAAATCAAACAGAGCATATGAGCACAGTTAGATAGTAGATATTGCATTTCATTAGTGACAACAGTGATGTGTATAACGAGTCATATTCCAGGCAGTGTTGAAAGTGCATAGTATGTACCTATTTGGAAAAAATAAGTTTTATTTTTGTAGCTGAAAACCTGCTCTATCCAACAATGTTATTATACTCTTTGTATTTATTTTATTTTCCATGAAAATAAATACAGAGCTTTACTTTCAGAATGTCTCTCTCATATTTGACCCCCACATGTTTCATCATTCTAGTTATTGGAAAAAGAATAAATTATTCTTTAGATGAATAATATGAGCAGAAATATAATATTCATTTATATATCAATCTGTTCATGATCTGTAGATTTTTGTATGCTAAAAATCTGTTTACTTTTACATTTATTCATAAAAAATAGCATTTTTAATAGTTTATAAATTTATCAAATTTACCTCTAGTTTGAAATGTACTCCTTCAAAATAATTCAGGAGAAATCTTCTTGCTTGCAAAATTTCCTTTTGTTGATTGCATAGCATCTTTGTTAGAAACTATAATTTATCATCTTCCCTTTTCTTGCAGGGACATTATCTGCAAGAATTAAAAAAAACAAAACAAAAAAAAACACACAGACACAGACAAAAAAATTAATTACATGCTTATCTCATTAGCTCATTATCTCATTAGCTTATAATTCAAAGCAAAAACCAGAGATTTCTCTTGATTTGGATATCTCAATAATGCAGAATTAGGAAAACCAGCAAATATCCATCACACACACACAAACACAAAAGTGCTGCAAAGATTTCACCTCCAAATCTGTATTCTGATGTTTTTGCCACTGAATTTAATATATATATATATATATATATATATATATATATATATATATATATATATATATATATATATATAAGTGAACATTCAACACTGGAGGCGACAGGCAGTTTCATGCTGGACGCAATCGTCGGCCAGATGATTGTGTCCAGCAGGAAACAGAATGTCACTTCTGAGTGTTGACTTCAATGTTCACTTTTATATTTACATACGCTCTATCTCTAATATTGAGCACTTTATCCCATAAATATAGCACACCTTAAAACTATATTTCTTCATCTCGTATATATAAAGTAAATAAATAATAAATATACAATTTTTCCTCACCAGTAGCACAGTAGCTCTTGAAACTAAAGCCATTATACAATGCTTGGAACAGATCATGATGAAACATAAGACATTCATTGTCTGTTATATTTAACAATATATATTTGAAATGTATACACACACACACACACACACACACACACACGTGTGTGTTTCTTTAACATTTTCCCCTCAAAATTATGATGTTTGACCACAGAAATGCTGATTTTGGGTTGTGGGCCAGTTTGATAAGAAAAAATAAGGACAAAAACTGTCTAACATTTGGATATTTCTTTATATTGTTTGTCAATCTAAGCTTTCGGCTCACATGAGCCATCATCAGGGTGGTTTTAAGGACATTACAACAACGATGTGCATTGTCAAAGATCAATGACCAATATAAAATAAAGAAATATCCAAATGTTGGACAGTTTTTTCTTTGTTTTCTCTTGAAACTAAAGCCATTATACTACACTTGGAATGGCTCATGATAAAACATAATAGATATTTGTTGTATCTTATATTTAACAATATGTGTTTGAATAATGATCTGCTGCCCCTATACACTATATATATATATATATATATATATATATATATTCTAATGGCTGTTTGCTCATTTCTATGTATATCCATCTACTAGGGTGACTGGCTAATCCCTGTTGCAGATGCCCACTCAGGCACATTTGTGTTTCTTCAACATTTGTGGTTTATACTGCAACTATGCTGAGTAGACCTTAGTTTCTGACAAAAAATGCATAATCTGGTGTGATCTGTAGTTGAACAAGTTCAGTATGCTCAAGTCCTCTGTCATGATGACTTCTAACTCTGTGCTAGCACAACTGTCAATAGGTTTGGGATAGTTCCAACTACCCAGTTTCATACATGAGGCTTGAGTCAACCTGTCACATAGTTTTCAGGTCTTTCCTATTGGTGCTGTATGCTGAGATCATCTCTCTGGGCTGATATTATCAAAGAAAATATCACCTTCTTCACTAATTGAACCTAATGAGATTAGAACCCAGGTAACATGACTAGAATGCTAATTGCATATGCACTCACAAGACAGGTACGAGTGTATGTTTTTGAATTTGTAACCTACTGTCCTACTGTATCATCAAGAAAGTCTTTCGTAAAACAAGATTATACACAAGTAAAATTCAGGATAATGACGACTTTTTCTTAATTTCTTTACTTTGTTCTCTTTTTTTTTTAGGAGCTGGATTTCCTGTCAGAACTACATCTACCGCCATCCAGACATGCCAAAATTCTTTGTCAACATTGGAGGAGATGGACAGTCTTGGAGAGATGGAGACTGGCTTGACAATGATGATAAGCGATTACCTTTTGATTTGCTTAAATCATCAGAAGCAGAGACCACTTTTAAGAACCATGTTAATGCTCTGCAAGAACAGCACAAAAAATTTGAGTAAGTGTTTTTTCCTGAAATATTCTGCTGTTTAACCTTTATTGCATAACCTGCTATGAGTAATTATAATCTGAAGTTGATACTATCACAAATACCATATGCAACAACTGCTTCTAAATTCTCTGCCTTTGAAAATATCTGGCACTAATTAAAAGGAAAATAATGTCTACTAATTTATGGCTGAATTTTTCAGATCATCATTATTATGCCTTTTCATTTTAATGTGTATGCTTATCTTGGTTGTTATACTATCAATATTTCAGCTACTGAATCCTTTGGCTTTATTTCAGCTATTTGTTAAATTCAGTCGCCTTGGAATTTTGAACTGAACCCTTTATTTAATACATGAGGGTGGAGTCTTTCTCATTCTGTTTTCCCTATTTAGATCATATCTCGTATCAATTTTATCTCATTTGTTTATCTTGGTATCACTTTCAGTGAACTAGAGTATATGATTTTTTTCTGCACTACCAAGCAGGAATTGAACTCACAACTGCTTGAAAATAACTGAGAACCAGGGAAAGTTTATACCTTTTTCTTGATCAACACAATATTGTTATCAGTAGTTATCACTAGTATCTGAAATTGATATTCCAAATTATTATATCTGAGTCACTATTAACTATACTTTTCACAATATAAATCTATTTTCAGTTATTAAATATTGATTGGAAAACTTGTTGATATAAGGGGGAAAAAATGGAAAAGAAAAGCTTTAAAGTCATGTTCTTGAGTTAATAACCCTTTACTTGATAAATATTAAAGAACCTTACCAACTGACAGAAAAATATCAAACATAGCATGAGTTGAGCATGATGAAACAGTTGAATATTTGTTTTGTAGATATGAAATTTATACATGGCAGTCCTTTCATAAAAGTAAAATTTCTTGATCCTTGAACATCACAAATGTAAACTTTCATTTTCCCTGACGAATGCTTACTGAATACATATACAGAAATATATGGATTCAGAATTAACCTTCTTGAAATAGACAGATAAGAATTTCCTGAATTATTCAGTGACAATCTTGTTTGTCAGTTTTCTTGTCCATTGTACCTGATGCTGTATAAAGTTGCTTCATTGTTGCATTTAAATTTACCTCATCTGAAAGAAAGATGAGTTTTTTGTTCAGTTTACTTTCTTGATAACAACTATCACTACTCTACTTATTCATGTATAAAGTGAAGAATGTTGCATAAAAATCAGAAATCATAGTAAAGGTTTCATATTATACACGAGTGTAATATTTTGACAATTTATCTCAATGAAGTAAACATTGTACACACTGGTCCCAATTTGTGCACATAGATACTATTTATAATTTTGAGAAGAGTTATCATTTCAAGAGTTGTTTCAGCCAGGGTTTTTTTAAACTGCGGGTTCTGACCCTTCAGTGGGTTGCAAAATAAATCAAATGGTTTGTGACAAAACTCTAAATGTTGCACAGAACTCATAAATCTTTTTTTTTTCTTTTTAAAAAAAATATATATATATATATATATAATATGCGTGGTATTTATTAGAAAGCGCTCAATATCAGAGATAGAGCTAACATATTTGGTTGGATTGATACGAGTTTGTAACCCTGGGTTTCACGCTTTTCCAATCGTCAGATCGCAGAAACGTGAAACCCAGGGTAAACTCACATCAATCCAACCAAATATATATATATATATTGAATTTATTTTGTTTAAACGTTATTTTGATGGATACTCTGTTTTTAATTAAAGTGCATTTTTTATCCAACTACATCAGCCAACCTATTATTTATTCAATAAATCTTGTCAGAAAAATACTGTTCAATTAAAAAACAGAGCTTCTACTCGGATATGTATCCATCAAAAATAATATTTGAACCAAACAAATTAAAGATAACAATATATTGGATTTAATCCATTGTCTATATATATATATATATATATATATATATATATATATATATATATACACACAGGGTGCAATGGGTAAATTGTTGACATTTTATATTTTTAATTTCGTGTATGCACGTTGTTTTTGATTTTATCAACTGCACAGTATAGTAGAGTCAGTTGGACACCGTCTATGTGAAAAATAGCACCATAATTATTTTATACCTGATTTAATTGGCCTTTTCTTTTTCCTTTTTTTTTTTTTTTTTGATAGGCTGAAAAGGAAATTCAAGGATTTCTTGGAGGAGAACAAGCAGGTGAAGCCAGGTAAGCCAATCAGTGAGACGTACATCTGCTTTGTTGGTAAGGAATGCTACAATGGTCTGAATGAGCGGGAGAGAGACGAAGTGTATGAGCAACACCAAGCAGACCTTCGGCAACGCGCCAAGCTCGATTTCCAAGAACTCATGTGGGAGAAGTCTGAGGTTTTTACGGAGCTCAACCCGTCTGTGCGACTCACGCAAGATGACCTCAAAATCATTACAAACGCCTTACAGAATGATTCTAGGTTAGTCCCTTTTTAAGATTCCTTTTTTTTTATTCTATTAACATTAAATGCTTTGTATTAAACATCACTTATGTAAAACAAAACAAAACTGTTGGACACATGCTGTAGAGTAATAACAGGTTAATCTTGCAGACTCTTGTTTATAAATTCAGTTCTTATCGTAGTCCTGGGCATGACAACAAACTACATCTGGCAGCAAGGCCTCTGATCGGGAGATTGGAAGTTTTGAGGAGCATGGAACCACCTCTTAATTGGTGTTGTTCCTAGGTCCATCCTTACCTGTAGTGGTAGCAACTGTTAGGGTCCCAGCTATGGGCAAATCGTGAATCCCCTAATAAAAAAAACTATAAAAGTACATTTTTTAGTAAAAATACCAACAATTCATTTTTATATAAAAAAGATAGCAATAATACATTTAATTTGTAGTTGAAGGCATACAATTGCATTCAAAATGTATATAGTCAAAGCCATGAAATTGTTCAAAATATTTAGATTTTGGCATTAAATAACCCATACAGGTTGAACTAAGATGAAAGAACTCTTTCATGATATTAATCCCGTATAATATCCTACAATTTCTTAAAGAAATCAAACTGTATTCCAAAATATAGCTTCAACAAAACTACAACATAAAACATACATATTCTAGTAATTATGTCCACACAAACATGTATATGCACAAAATCAGAGTATCATCTACCATGTATTCAATTGTGAAAGCAGAATAACATATACTATATTTTTATTACAACCAAACTCCCAAGAAAATCAAATTTTTTCATTAAATGACTCATAAAAAGGTAATATGCTGTTAAACAAACAAATCATTTCTTATTGGATGCTCCACTATTATAACCATGTATCAGATAAAACTTTTATAAACCATATAGTGATATTTACATCTTTCACTAATGTAAGAAAAAATGCAGCGATCATCTTTTTATTAATGTTAAAATCTATCAAGAAATATATCTTAATAAATGAATTAGTTTTTACTTTTTCCCTTTTAGATAAGTCCTGGGTATGACTAGAAACTACATCCGACAGCAAGGTCTTTCATCAGGAGATTGGAGGTTTTAATTATTGTTGCTCCCAGGTTAACCCTTACCTGGGGTGGTAGCATCTGTTAGGGCTCAAGTTATAGGCAAATAATGAAACTCCAAGCACTATGAAAGTATACAAATACATTTTTATAATAAAAATACCAGCAATACATTTTTATGTAAAGCAATTATCAATAATACTTATTTGTAGTGAAATTACCAACAATACTTATTTATAGTAAAGTTACCAGCAATACATTTTATCTGTAGTTGTTTGCATACAATTGTGTTCAAAATAATTAGATTTTGTTATTAAATAACCCATGCCTCTAAACAAAATCAACCAACCAACCAATCCTTTTAGATACAAAAAATATCTTTAAATAATATATGCAAATTATTACTAAAAACTGAATACAGGGTGTGATGTGTAAATTGCCATTTTTATTTTTAATTTTGTACATACATATTGTTTGTTTTTGATTTAGTCAACTGCACGGTATAGTAGGGTCAGTTGGGCACCATTTGTGAGAAAAAAAAGAACACAATAACGCAATTCACTCCACCAGAAATTTGGAAACTGCATGCTGTACTGTTTGGCATTCATGCTGAAAGCTCCAATGTGAACATTTCAAAGTCTTTAGGTGTCAATCTGAGGACAGTGCAGAGGATTTGGAAAGAGTTGGATGATATATCCAGTCAACATCATGATTTTTGGAGTGATTACTAGTGATGGCGACGTTATGCTTCCATTCATCTTCCCACTGGGCCTAAGACTCAACAGAGAAGCTTACATCAAGTGACTTGAGGAGGTAGTGCTGTCCTGGGTCAAGAGGGTGGCTATTGGAAGCCCCTATGTCTTACAACAGGACTCTGCACCATGTCACACAAGTAGGAGAACACAGTCATGTAATATCAAAGATGAACTGAAGGCAAGGATTATGGCAGCATTTACCAACTTAAACAAGGAGACCATCCAGAAGAGTTGCAGGAGATTCCGAAGTCATCTGGAGGCCATGGTTAAAACCAATGGTGATTTTATTGAATAAATTTACTCTTATGGATTTTGAGATATTTTTGTGTATATTTGGTAAGTATATCTGTTAAAATGAGATATCAGTGTTATTTTCATTTTTCCATAATTTAGGTGACAATTTATCCATCGCACCCTGTATAACAAAAATATAAAACTTCTTAAAACAAGAGTCTTGATACAAATTTTCTTATTTATGAATTACAGATCAATATATAGCAACACATCATATATATTGGCATACGAAACGAAATGCCAGTTTAATCTCAAAGGAATTAAGTACTTTTTTTTTTTTTTTCTTTCAATCTAATTATAACATAAAATCTGTCTACATGCACATCACAATATTTTTATGTAAATATTGTCATGATAAATTTTGGTGCCTTTCTTTGTTGTCAGATATCAGCTGCTGGATCGTCTGGAGGAAGACCGCAAAGTAATGATTTTAAACCATTTAGGCTTCATTCAGTGCCCTTCAAAGGAAAGGTGTTACTTCCGTGAGAACTGTGTCGAAGCTATGGCACAAAAAATCCTTGCATACAAACCAACAAGGTACAGATAATTCACATTTATTCTCTGTCTTTATTTAATTTGTATCCTTAATTTTCTAATTTTCTTTGCTCACATTTTTCTTAGATAATCAGACAAATATTGTAAAATGAATTTAAAGGATAATCATGTCTGCACTATAATTATTATGATAAAAGAACTGTGATGCCAACTTGGGAATATGAATGCAGTTTTTATCTTTAAAGGAAAAAAGACAATCCAAAAGTTAGGTTTTTTTTTATTATATGTAAACTGCCTCAAACATTTACTCACTAAATTTGTTTTCTCAAGTATATTATTAATTTTTTTTTTTTTTTTGTGATTTAATGCTGATAATTTCTGATAATCCCATTTTGTAAGGAATATCAGTTTTGTTTATAGTTTGTTTTACTTGGAATATTGATAACTTTTGAAATAAGTTAATGATTCATCAAAGACATTATAAAAAGCTATGCCATTTCCTTTTATCTGTTTTAGACCTGATGCTTCCGAAAGTTCACAGGCCCAGAATGGTGCTGAGCAACCTTTTAACCTGGTGCTACTGGGCAAAGATGGACTGGCTTCAGAGGTCAACCTGGAAATTAGAGTAAATTAGATTCTATTTTTTCTTAATCTCTACTATCTTTCATTAAGAACAATTCTGTAAGCTTGTTAAGTACAATAAATAAATAACTGGGAAAATGCACATATATCTTTTAATGTGATCTGCTGATATTAAAATAATGTCATGAGATATATATATATATATATATATATATATATATTTTTATTTTAGAACCTTAATTTAATAAATGAGCTTATATAGATGATTTAAAGAAAAGTGTCAAACACGTGAGCTTTGTTTGTAAGGGAGATAAATCTATCTTCAAGTCGAAAATCGTGCTCCATAAATTGAGAATATTTAACCTTGAGAAACAGTTTTCTCTTGTCCTCTGTAGAAATTAAAATACAGCAATGTATATTAGGAAGCAGTTAATTGTACCCAGTGTGTGTACACACACACACACACACACACGCTGTTTAGAAAAAATGTACTTAAAAGAAAATGTCTATGGGAAAAACAGAGGTTCAGCAAAAATAAATAAATAAATAAAATAAGTAAATAAATTAATTCAAAAAAAAAAAAACATATTCAAGAAAGTGTTGTTGAAGTTATTGTTTGTAATTTCAAATTCCAATTTGGGCACCTAATTTACTCCCAAATTAACCTATCTCTCCAAAAATGAGTCATTTCATTTTCCAGTTGAACTTTACCAGCAATTCAACTACAAAATCAAATGTTTGTATTGTGATTTGATTGTAAATTTTAAATCTATAAAACACATTCAGGAGTTGCTACAGTTTTGAACTTTCATCAACTCACAAATCCTTGATGAAAATTTTGAAAATTAATTTTCTATAATGTATGCCATGTTTAGCAAGTTTGAAAAAAAGCAAAAAAAGACAGATAATTTTCATCTAAGATTGAAGATTTATAAATTCTTAATAAAAATCAAATTTAGTTTGTTAAACTAAATTTCACATGAATCAATTTTAAGAATTGTTATTGTGACAACATCAAACACTCTCTACTTAATAAATGTTTGATCTGTTTTTTGTGTTGCTAAATTCTCACAAAATTTACTTCCTTATGGTACTTTGTAATTCTATTTTTCTCTTCCTTTTTAGGATCTGTGTGTGGAAGATGAGTATAGCTGTCAGAATATCATGTTTAGTCTTGATTATCGTCCAATTGATGGCGATGTCAGTCAAGAACAGCATGCATTTGTGACTCCAACATTTAAACCTCATGGTAAGTAATACTCATCAGGCAGTCTCCATCTCTTTATATTAATTATACAGACACTGGTTAATAAACCTCATTTAACATTCTTCTTCTATGTGCAGTGTCCCTTCAGGATGTGAGTGATCATGGCTCACCACAACCTCCTACTCCTTGTTGCCTTTAACAATGTATGTCCCTTCATTATATTTCCTGCCTGCTATTCTGCTATTCATTCATGCAAACTTGTTAGGTAGGTGGCCTGCTGCCTTCCCCTTCTCTCTTGCCCTCAATATGTCCTGTGAGGGTCAAATTTTCCAAACCTTTCTTTCTCATTATGTACCCAAGAAATTTCAGTTGTCTCTTTCTGTTTCTGAGAATGTGCCCTTTTTGCTTTCATTTTCCTGAAGACTTCCTTGTTGCTTACTCACTCTGTCCATGGAATTCTCAGTATCCTTCTGTAGAACCACATTTCTGTTACCTCCAATTTTCTCTTCATCTGTAAGGAGATTGTCCAGCATTCACAAAGGATTGATAGCTCTCTTTTCATTGTTTCTCATACTGTCATTAATGGTTCAATATATTTAAAGATCTACCCTAACCCTTTGGTTTAAAAAAAAAAAAAAAAAAAAAAAAAACCAAAACCATCATGCCTTGGTTTTGCTGTCACTGTTCCTTCTTAGTGACAAGATACTCTTATTCAATATATAATCTAACACAATTTGAGAATATTTATGTCAAGTGAGTATCAAACAAGGATATGCTGATTTTCACAAGAGTGGAAAAGCTTCTCTCATCATAATATTCAAGTATATTTATTTCTATAATATTAATTGGTTTTTTGTTTTGTTTTTTGTTGAAGCTAAATAAAACTGTATTTAGCACCATATGGTTAGTAAAAGTTTCATTTTGGTGGTGGGAGAACTAATTTAGTTTGCGCCTTTAATTTCATGTTGTGCATTCTTTTAAATTATTTTGTAATAAAATAACTATTAGCCAACTATATTATTCTTGTGAAAAAAATAAAAAATTAATTAAAAAAATCTTAAAAGAAATGATTCCATGTTTTTAATGAAAGCAAGAAAATTTACTGCCAAAATACACATATGTATATATGTATATAATTTTCTTTTTAAATTTCAGGCTGTGTCTGTGTGTATAATTCTGTTCATACATTTGAATATGTGCGATACAGTTTGGAGCAGACTTGGCTGTCTGACTTGGCTTGTGAGGATGGCCAAGTGCTGGACAGGTTGCGTTTTGTGATAATCCAAATACACAACTCGATGATTAGTGATCGAGAAGTTGAGCAATTGAGGGAACAAGGATGGCAGTTAGCTACTAAGTAAGTGATCTCTCTACCATTATAGTATCAATTATTAACTGTTATCATGTTACATTTTTCCTTTTAATTACATGATAATCTTACAAATAGTCTTTGTACTTTTATGCCAGAAAGCACGCACTATCATGACTCTTCATTCATATTAAAGATGTTTTCATTTTTTTGCATCCTATCATCGTACAAACAGTATTTGTATTAGAAATGAGTCAAATGTTGTATTACAAAATAGAAGCAAATAGAATAAAAGTTTACAGAACAAATTTGAGATAAAGATATTTTGACAAAATTATGGAAATATCAAGATAATTTTGATTTTTTTTTTTTTTTTTTAATCTCTACTCATTATGTATGCCTTAGAACTTGCGATAATGTCTCTGTTGCACTTAGCAAGATCAGTCAGTGCATTCCATGATGTCTTCAGTCAATACTTTAAAAAAAAAAAAAGGTGATGTAATGAATATGCATACACCTGGGTTCCCCCTCACAGTATTGGCTGGTGTCAGCCATAAATACAGACTGATGTGGAGGTACTTGGACTACGCCTATTGTCTTCACCTATTGCCTACCACTACGACGAGGACCAGTCCATTATGGTTACTTGCTAGATTGTCCTACCCAGTTACAGTAGTCAGCAACCACTTTGCTACTTCGAACAAATATATCCCTTTCTGGAACATATCAAAAGGTCACATTATACAAATTTGCATCATGTTCTGTATTATATTGGGATATAAATTCACCAGCATAAAATAAATTAACTTTACATTTTATTGTACATGGGAATGTAAGTAAATAACCTTTTTTCTACATAACATGTTATTAAATGTATTTTATATTTTTTGTATTCTTTTATTGAATATTTGTTCTGTGCAGCAAGAGTCACTATGATATAAAGATAGAAATTACATAAAGATTAAATTAATTTTCAATAAGACTACAAGATTGGAACACTCAAGAGTGACTATTTCAAAGATAATGTGCATAGACTTGGAAATTTATATGTAAGATTAACTTTTATCAATCAAGTATTGACTACCTTCAATACATTCTTTGTAATTGTCCTTTTGTTGCATGTGATAAAGATTTCTTCCACTGGCTTCAAGTGAATTGTTATTCTTTTGCTTATGTTTTTGCAGACTGCAGTGCAAATTCTATTACATTCCACATGAACTAGATGCCAGTGAAAGAAGAAAAATCAGCCAGGTTCAAATCGAGAAAGCATTGCAAAGCATTATTCGCCCTGTTGCATCTGGACTGTTATCGAGTTGGCACTGCTCAGATTTTCTGGAGGCAGATTTGAAGTAAGTCCTGTAATCATCTCATCAATTTTATACCCTGGTTGGTTTCCTGATAACAAAAGCCATATGTTTTTCTATCTATCTCACTCTCTCACACACACACAAACGTGAAATTACACTGTTCTAGATCCCTGGTGATCACAATTTGTCCCTTACATGCAAAATACCTACTGTACATTCTTCATAAGTTGATACACAAAATAAATGACTTTTACATCAGCAATATGCAGAGTAAAATAGAAAATTCTTTTTCTAGAGTTTTTTAATAGAAAAAATGACAACTTTGAATGCCAAGTTGAAACTTTTAAAATGTCCAAGATTATTTTTAAATTTACAGTTTTTAGTATATTCAGTTTTGTGTCTTAAATATATCTCCAAAGAAAACAGACATTTCAATAAGGTTTACTTTAAAAAAGTCAAAGAAAAAATTTTTGTGTTTGAAATCTATTCTATAATTTAAAACAAAATGAGAATTCATATATTTATTGGTTATGCAGCCTGATCTACCTTAGTAATGAGATATTCTATTATTAACAGGAATCATTACATGATAATAAACTTTGTGTTACTATAAGAATGGAATGTCTCGTTACTAAAAGGGAAGATCATGTTGCTAATAGATTATTTTTTTTCGTTTCTTATTAGCTTTGTTTGGATATATTGGTTTTAATAATTTAATAGTAGAATAGAGTAAAATTACATGAATAAAACTCCGAGGTGACTCATACAGAAAATATAACCAATAAGGTTGCAAAGTTACTTAAATATGTTGCTGTCACAGCTAATCTAGTGCATGTATAAAGTTTGATAAAAAAAAAATTTTTTTCTTATAATGCTAGATCACTGGCAAAACATGTCAAGATGAAATTTTTTCTAAATTTTCTCATATTGTGTGTGTGTGTGTGTGTATATATATATATATATATATATATATATATATATATATATATATATATATATTTTTTGGTCAATGAATATTTTCCAACATATTCTTCTGACCAATGTCAAAAGGATCCTTTAAGAAAGAAGAATGTTTTCCCATATTTTTAAATCTATGAACAGCATGCGATGGATAAATCGTTGTCTAAATTATATAAAAATAATACTGATATCTCATTTTAACAGATATATTTACCAAAATTACACAAAAATATCTTGAAATACTTAAGAGTAAATTTATTCAATAAAATTGCCTTTGTCTTCAACCACAGCCTTGAGACACTTTGGAATCTCCTGCAACTCTTCTGGACGATCTCCTTGTTTAAGTTGGTGAAAGCTGCCTTAAGCCTTGCCTTCTGTTCATCTTTGCTGTTACAAGGAGTTTTGTTGGTCTGTCGCTTAACTGCACATCACGCATAATAATCAAGGGAGTTGCAGTCTCAATAGTTAGGTGGTCAGATGTAATGGGTGATGTCTGACAGTCATGACTGGGTTCTCCTGCTTGTGTAGCATGGTGCAGAGTCCTGTTGCCAGATGTAGTCTTTCAGCAGTCACCCTCTTGATCCAAGGCACTTGTAGGCCTCTGAGTTGAATCTGATGCTCTGTGGGAAGATGAATGGAGGCATAATGTCACCATCACTAGTGATCACTACAAAAAAAAAATTATTTTGACTGGATATATCAGCCAACTCTTTCTGAATCCTCTTCACTGTTCTCAGATTGACACCCAAACACTCTGAAATGATTGTATTGGAGTTTCTGGCATGAATGCCAAGCAGTACAACATGTTCCCAACTTTCTGGCAGAGTGAATTGTCATAGTGCTCTTTTTCTCACAGATGGTGCCCAACTGACCCTACAATACTGTGCACTTAACAAAATCAAAAACAATGTGCATGTGTGAAATTAAAAATATAAAATGATAACAATTTACCCATCACACTCTCTATATGTTCAGTGGCATCAAATTTCTAATATATATATATATATATATATATATATATATAGAAATTTGAAAATTTGTGTATTTAGGTAGCAAATTCTCTTTTAAGCATGTCTGATTAAATAAATTACAGACATTATGTCTGCTTATTTTTTATAAAATCCGTTCATACTCAGATAACTTTACGTCTATTGCAATTAAATGATGTGAGAAATGTGCTATAACTATAGAAATTGTTTCCCAAGTACTTTCGATCTTCTTCTGAGTCCATCTTCAGGGGTGTACATAGTAATACAAAGCTGTATGTTGTTCATGGGTGCAAGTAGTAATACAAAACTCTTTTTTGATATCCATTACTGTAATTTTTCTTTTTCCTTTCAAATGCAAAATGGTTGACAGTCATGCTTAGTGTTCATTAGAATGTGAAAAAATTATCCACTATGGAATTTGTTCTTCTGTGTTGTAATGTCATGGTCACGCATGCATTCACAATATGAAAAAATACTAATCGACAACACAACTATCTTATATTAAATAAAACAACAAATTCAAACTACAGATCCGCAAAGCAATTTACATTAAAAAATTAAAGCTGTCACTTAATACAATCAACTACTAATACTGTAGTAATATTCTGAAATGTCTATAAAAAGAACAATTTTTCACACTTTAAAGCAGACATAATGTCTGTAATTTATTTAATCAGACACATATACACACACTTTCTCTCTTCTGTTACTCAGGTTTTACTTTTTAACATTCCTTATTTCTCTATCTGTAATCCTAGTTTAAAAAAAATTAAGTATTTTATTGTAAAATGTTTTTTGTTATGTAATCATTCATTTATTTATTTCTTAGGATTGCTGTCTGCATGATGTGTGGCGATAAGTTTTCCATTGAGTTTTCTCTTGCCCCGTTGCTCAACCAAGATTTCTTTCGTGTCATCAATGAAGAAAATGGCCAGTGGATGATTGAAGTATTTCTCGATGACATGCGAGTACGAGTGGAAATCATTCTTACATCGTATCACGGTGCCAACCTTATGAAGGATGAACTGTTCCATGGTTACTTGTTGATTTATTCTGCTCAAAGACGAGCTTCCCTCTCTACCATGAGGTAAGAGTATACATTTCTACAATAGAGATGTTTTTTATTGTTTTGAGGGTAGCTCAAGTTTTTTTGTTTTTTTAATTGCTTTGAAACACAAAGTAAATAATTTGTTGATTTCATAATGTTTATAATTATTAAATTAATCCTAACTCACTTATCTCCCTTGGAACTTACATTTTGTTTTTTGTTTTGTTTTCATTCAACACATAATTTGTTAACTACGAAAGGTTAAACAGGTTAACAAATTTCAAATATGTATGAAGTGATAGTTGGGATACAGTAACCCATCAGTATTTCTCAAAGTATTTGAGTTTTCTATTTGTTATGACTAAAAGACGATTTGCCTAAATCATGACAGTTGAGGATCTTTGAAAATCTTAGAAAATATTGGTTATTAATAGAAATCCATTGAAAATATTGCTGATTGTTCAAAACACAAAGTTCATTTTAATGACTTTTTTTGTCTTAGTCTTTAACTATTTCATTTTTGTTCTTTTTTGACCCTTCCATGGTTGACTATAGAAGTAATAGCTTTTTGCTACAACTATCATCATAAGTAGCATAGTTATGGGGAAGTGGTTTGCATAAGTACTACTTGTCACCCATTCTGGTATATTGATAAGATTTTTTTGTTTTGATATCTGACATAGGGAGATGTGAATTCATACTTTTCCCAAGGGCATACAATACTTGATGTACTGTATAATTTTTCATATGGGAGGCCTGAATGTCATGTTCAGAAAAGAACAAGAAGGTAAAATAGTTGGCAAATTTGAACTAGAAACTCAAAACAAACACAGCGAAAGATGGGTCCAGTGGTGCACTGTAAACAGTCAAATAATTACCAACACTTGTCTTAAGGAACACTCTAGGTACTTATAGACATTGAAAAGCCTGAGAGGATACACAAAGAACCAAATTGATTATTTAACTATAAGCAAAAGGTTTCTACACTGTAAAACATACCCAAGTGCTAACTGAGTATATTGGAGTAAGATTATGAAAAATAAAGACCAAAGCAATGTCTCAACTGCAACATGACAGACTCCTGAATGACACAAGTTGTAAGATGTATATAGACAGTTAAAAACAAATGTAACTTGAGCGAAACTACAAAGTGGAATACATTGGCAAATGAGATCATTCCAAGGAAAATAAGACGACAAAGATGATGCAAAAGTGACAACAAACAAGACTGAGGAATGGAAAAAATGTAGCCAGACTAAAGAGGAATGGCTCAATGAAAATATGCAGAAAAGGTGAGCAACAACACAGATAAAGCAAGTATACACAACAGAATAAAAGAATTATCAGGACAAAAAGTGTGCTCCTTAGCAGATTGCATAAAATCAAAGGAGAGAACACTGATAATAGAAAAAGAGAAAATACTCCAAAGATGTAAAGAAAACTTTAGAGAATTACTTGATGATATGAGAGAGAAACCTACAATGCACAAAAATATGAAAGGAAGAGAAGTATTAAAGTCTGAAGTAGGATTGGCATTAGGCAAGATGAACAGGAATAAAGCAGCAGGACCAGATGGGTTTGTAATAATACTCATAGCCTTAGACAAGATCACAGAAGTGATAAACAAAATGTATATCAGTAGCAACATGCCAGATGATCTCAGTAAATCCATCTTTGTAGCATTGCCTAAGAAATAGCCCAAGGTGTGAACTATGAATTGGAGATGTCAACATTCATCAAGTAAAGAATTTTAAATATCTGGCAATTATTTTTAACAAAGGATGAAAAATGCAATGCCAAAATCCAAATCATATTTGAATAGCAAAAGATACCTTTCAAAAGCTAAGCAAAGTACTGAGAAACTGGAAAATTTCATTAAAAAGAAAGAAGAGTGCTAAACTGTTATGTAATATCAATCCTCTTCTATGGCAGTGAGTGCTGGACAAACTCTTCACAGATGAAGAGAAAACTGGAGACAACAGAAATGTTCTATAGAAGGATGCTGAGAATACCATGGATGGAGAGCTTCATCAACAAACAAGTCTTAAGGAATATGAAAACAAAAAGGAGATTTTTGCTCAGAATCAGAAAAACAGCTGAAATTTCTTTGACACATAAGGAAGGAGAGCTTGGAAAATTTGGCACTCACAGGGCATATTGAAGGTAAAAACAACAGGGGAAGATGATGGGTCACCTACTTGATGAGCTTGAGCAATTGGAATGGGAGTGCAGAAGGATTGGCAAAGGGAGAAATGCTAATGGCCACGAAGGGTATGAAGTTGTTGAGAGCCACAATCACTCGCGTCCTGAAGAGACATGGCCTGTAGATGATCTTTACCTTTTTCTATAAGGAAATTAACTCTGTATTGCTAACTCTTTAGCTTTTAGCTATGACATATTTATCAGGATATTCAAGTTTAAATATATTCACTATTATTTTGACTTAAACTAATTTTTTGTAGATTTTTGAATTTAATCGACTAAAGACATTATTCATTCATATTGAAACTAACATTGATTTCTTGTGACTTCCTGATCATATTTATACCACTAAGACTTGTTAAAAAAAAACAATATCTTTAAGAGATGAGCTTTGAAATTGAAAATTAAAAAGCAACTTTTGTAATTGGCATTTGAATGAATAAAAAGATAATTTTATTGTAAATCAGCTTTTTTAATAATTGTCATGGTGAAAACAACTTTTATAAGATTCTAGATGTTAGTTATATCCAAGATTTTAAATGAACTTTCATTCTTCAGAGTTGCCGATGGGTGCTACGCTTTTCTTAAAGGTGACCTGGAAAAGTACAAAACAGCTGCATCCAACTCTTCTAGTATTTTACATACACACCTACTTAATCTACTTCTCTTTCTGCTCACCTGTTTGTTAGATGTATTTTAGTTTGTATACCTATCAGTCGATATCTCTACCAGTTCTAATTCAATCAAATCAAAGAATAAAATGTGTTTAAATGATTGTTGCTAAGTTTACGTTTTTGCCAACAAAGAGCATGCAAGCAGCATTTTCTAAAGAATTATTTTAGAAAAGAACTGTCCTTATTTCATAATATATACTTGTAGAAATAGTTGAATATCAAACTCTTTCATTTCTGTCTTTTTTGTTTGGCAATTGACTTAATCATTTTAATTTCTTTCTGTGTTAATTTCCAGGGCCTTTGCATCACATCTTCGTCACCAGCTGCCCATTCTAGTCTTGGCTATTACAGACAGCACCAGTACAGCTGATGAACATGTAAAAACATTGATCTCAGAGGGCAATGCTGTTGCTGATATACTCAAAGCACACTTCATGACTACACCACCACATTTTCAGCATCAACGTGAGTGAGAAGCTAATCTTTGATAAACACTCCTCGTCATCACCCTATCATATAAAGACAAAGAAACTGTGTGTGTGCACATTATGAACATGAAATTTACTAAAAACAATTTTCAGTGTATTAAATGGAAAGGAGTTTCCTCTGAAAAGTTAAATCATTTTAAAAAGGACAACTTTGAGATTTTTTTGTTTATCTTGTTGGTTTATGTAGGGCTTGAAGTTTGCTGCATCTTCTTTATAGCATTCAAACCTTCAGTACATGTAGAAACACAAATTTCTATAATTTTCTTTCAAATTCATCCTGAATCATTATACTTTATACAATGTTATTTTCCAATTTTTGCAGTTTGTTTGCATAAGATCTATATTCTGCAAAGCATTGTTTATTTTATGATATAAGCCTATGCCTGCAAAATTTAATTCCCACATTTTTCTTTAGTAAGTATAGCAACCATTGTGCTAAATTAAAATATACTCTAATAATTTATATGAAAAACAAATTTTCATCATATGATGTCTATCTGCAAAATCCATTTTAAACAGCCATTTAATATTGATGAAAAAATATATTCTACCCAAGTCAATGACACTTTAGTCCCTTGAAAGATTTCTCCTTTGGACATTTTATATTTATCCTAACATCCATTCCACACTTTGAAACAGTCTGCAAAGTCTTTTTACAGTATTACCATTAGCTGCTTTGTTTTGTTTTGTGTAATTTAATTCAGTGTTTCAACAGCATTTTTAACTCTACAAAAATCACAGGAAAACCATTTAGCTAAACAGATATCAAGTTTTATGAAAAGAAAGAAAAAGATCTCTGCAAAGATGTGAAGAATCTGCTTAATTGAACATTGTGGCTGCGATTATTATATGGTACATTAGCTCACTCAGTGGTATCACAGTGCCAACTGAGTAACTCCATAGGAGAGTCAGTCTGCACTTGTGCAGTAAGGTCTCCTTTTAATGGTTATCAAATTACATCCATGTTGCCCAAGTGGTTCTTGAGATATTCAGAATGGCTGAATGTATTCCAAACAACCCTCATCTATGAAACATTTCAAAGAAAATATTTTTGATTATTCAACTTCATAAATAGATTGAAAAATGACAATGTTAAATACTTGTATAAAGTTTTTAAGACAAACCAGAAAAAAAATCCAGTTACACAAAAATAAATGATCTTTTTGATAATGGAAATACCAATACTATAGAAAACTCTTTGGTAGAGAAGAAAAGGAAAAACTGTTAAGAGTAATAAAAAACATTCTCTGTTTACTAATATTGGTTAGTAACAATCAGAATTTAAAGAAAAATTCAAAGATCAATAAATCTCTAAGAGAATAAATTTTATATTTGTTAGTTCCCTGTACTGCTCCAGTAAGTACCTGACTGCTCCTGCTATCCTCTACCGTTACAAGATTTAGATCAGGCTGAAAATGGAGTACTGCTTCCATATATGGACAGGGGCTGCTCAGTCTTCACGTTCCAGTCTTGGGGTCCAAAATCATCTCTGTGTTCTTGTGGGTGATTAATTATTTTCCACCTTGCAGCCCCTTTCCCAGATGAAATGTTTCAAGTCTCTTGCTGCTCTATTGCTATTTCCATGAAAAATGTTCAAACTATATTCCTGAGTGCCACCATTCTAACCTTCAGAGTTAGACTTGCCATGCTACACACATTGTAGTGAAAAAATCTTCATTTCCTTGGTATTCCCTTAGTGCAATGTAAGTTCCACTTGAACAGTTTCTTCTTATGAATTGCTGATTTGTGGAACAGACTCCCAAGAGGATGCTTCCCTAATTACTACAGTCTTCACCTATTCAAGTCTATGGTTAACTGTTATCTTCCCTTACAAATCCTCATAAATTGTAACCTTCTACCTCAAGTAGTTCTTTGGCTTCATACAAAGTGAACATCATTGTAAAGAAGAAAAAATTAATTTCATTGCAACTGTAGAGAGAAGTATATGCTTCTCTTATTCCATCTGCTTATTGCTTCTTCAACATTTTAGCTAATTTCTTTATGAACACGCATAACATGGTTCATTTCATATTTCTTTTCTGCTTCATGACATTAATCCATATAATATCCTACAATTTCTTAAAGAAATCAAACTGTATTCCAAAATATAACTTTAACTTCAACAAAACTACAACATAAAGCACACATACCACCTAGTAATTATGTTCACACAAAGATGTATATGCACATAAGCTGAGTATCATAGATCTAGGGATAGCTAGCCCCCCCCCCCCTTTTTTTAGTGCTGTAACTATTTCTTGATTTGTGGAAGTTAATAATTCTCTGTCTCAAGTCAATGCTAAGTCCCTTTGTCTTCTCCATTGTGTTGTTAACCTGGTGACACTTTATGCACCACATGATGATCTTTGCTGGAATTATCACAAATATTCTCTGGAATAAATAGTCTAGAAGGCTTCATCGATAAAATAATTTTGTAAATTACTTACACTTACACTTTCAAGTTATGGCTTTGTCTGTTGCATACATTTTTGCATTTATGTCCATGGAAAAAGCATGTATCCATTTCTTCTCCCCCAGCTATGAATTAAATAGCAGGGTAGACTAGGTTCACTAACCTTGAGTGGCAGCCAGTCTAGAAGGGAAACTCCAAATTCAAGACTGGAGAAGGCAAAAAGAAACCACTCCACTATCTTTCACAAGAATATATGGCAATTTCCAGATAATAAAGAAAAGTAATCTGTGAAGAGCCATGTTCACCTTTGTCATGAATGAGGATGGCATTTAAAATAAATAAATAAATATGAGGAGTAAACATGCCATCCTCCAGAATCAGGCTCAAGAGAAATAAAAAAAAAATGGTATTGCCAAAGAGGAGGTGGAATCAGAATGTTAGGCATTATTGACTTTAAAGATTAGATAATTAATAGCGAACACCATTGAAGAATATGAAAATTGAAGAGGGTGGCAAATATTGGCTTGTATGGATTTTGACATGATTTTCTTTGCTTAATGAAAGTGTTTGGGAACTCATCAGGAATCACTTGGATAAATGGTTGATGATTACAGCTGTGGACTCATTAATGCAGAAATGAAGTGTTCTGATTGGTAGATTAATGACCAGTATTTTCTCTCTCTCTCTCTCTCTCTTTTCATTAATATATTCTCTCCTCAAGAAATAAGGTATTCTCTCTCTCTCTCTCTCTCTTTTTTGCTGATTGTTCACCTGACTACAGCAGAAGACTGGCTCAACTAAAATCTTGTGTTAACTCCATCAAATACACAAAGGAGTTCAAATAAAATTTAGAGGTTTTTTTTTAATTTTTTTATTGCTCTTATTATACAGGTAGGCTAAGGAATGTGTGTAATTTATTTATTTATTTTTTTCAAGAATTAAAGTATTGAAAGTTAATAAAATCAAAAGTGCAAATACTGTTCTGGAGCATGGAATTACTATTATTTCTATAACTTTTCCATTTATTTTTCTAGATTCAATTTTTAATCCATTCTTCAAAGATGCATGGGAACGACGTGAGGATACAGAGAGTTTCTTCCATCATGTATCAGAGCCACCTTCCAACATCTTGTTTGAGCTGAATCCCACCATTGAAAAGAGACCTCCTGCTCCTCTGCCCAAACCGAATGATTTGTATCACACAACGAAGAGTAGCACTATTAACAGGTGCATCTCGCCAGACTGGGGCTGGTGAGTAGGCATTTCAACTGAAATCAATGACATAAATATTTATTTATTTAATGTAGTTCTTGCTTTATGAAATCAGTTTTCACTCTGAGCTTACCAAGTAGTTTTGTGAAATTAAAACCATTAAAGAATGGTTATTAACTTTCATATATTTTGTTCTAAATGTTATCTCATATTTTTGTATAGTTATAGGTGTCCATGTTAAACATTAAGTGAATCTGAGCTAGATAGAATCGAGAAAACTGACAGGGAGGGAAGGAAAAATGTTAGGAGGACATTATTTTCAGGCATCATCACTGAATATAAATGTAAACTTGGATAACATGTAGGATATACCATTTACACTGTTTGGACTGTTGTCCTCATCTTTCTTGTCATATTCCCAACGTTTCGGCCATTGTACTTTCAGGCCTTCTTCAGGTGATATACATTGGAATTTCAAACCAAACCCTTTATTTAGTCCATCGGTATAGATGGTTCTAGTTCCAACATACCATGCCTTTTTTGGATATCTCAGTTTCAGTTAATTCCCTTTAGTAACTCAACTCTCCCAGTTGTTTTTCACAATTTTTTGGGTCAAGTCATTTTTGGGCGACTTCAACCAACGCATTTATCCATTGGGCCATGTCTCTTTGGGGACAATAAAAATGAGAAGAACAATCTGAAGAGTGTAAATATTCACAATAAAACAGGAAAAACTGACAGAGAAGGAAAGAAAATGTTAAGAGGACATGATTTTCAGGAATCAACACTGAATATAAATGGAAACTTGGATAAAATATAGGATTTACCATTTATACTGTTTGGACTGTTGTCTTCATCTTTATTGTCATATTCCCAACGTTTCAGTCATTGTACGTTCAGGCCTTCTTCAGGTGATATAAGTTGGAATTTCAAACCAAACTCTTTAAAAATGTTGTGAATATGACAAAGACAAGGACAACAGCCCGAACAATGCAAATAGAGTAAATAGTAACAATACCTCATCTCAGAAATATAGTTAGATGTTGAAGGAGGATTCACTTTATACCATGTTAATTTTGAGATTATTTCTTATTTCTATCTCAATTTGTTCAATGATTTAATGATGGGTCAACTCCCTACCAGTTTAATTTGAAAATCTAGCAGCTGAATAAAATTGTAATTTGATATATTTGGTGTGTGCAAAAGGATTTTTTCCTACACGAGAAAGAAAATAAAATAGTTAATTGTTTGATTAAAACCTAAGTCATAGATAACTTTCCTAATAATAAGACGGCTAATATGTATTTAGTAAATGTGAGCATGTTGGAGTAAATGGATAGCAGCTTGGATTGAGGAATTGGAGAGCCGAGTTTGAATTCCAGTTGAATTCATTACATTCACTTATGTGCTAATACCTTTGTGAATGGTATGAATCTCCTTCTTCTCCCCCTAGCTATGGGTAAATAGCAAGACAGACTGGGTTCTATAGCCTTGGATGGCAACTGGTCTACCGCAGAATGAAATGGCAACATATTGCGAGAAAAAAAAACTGCCTCATCAGTCATGTATCAAAAGATACATAAAGGCCTAAGTGTGTATCACGTATGGCACATTATTGACTGAAATGTGAGCATCTGTTGTATCTTGATATTCTACTTTGATAAGTATATTGTACCAAACTAAGAATATTTGTCTGAAAAATTTGTAGAATGTGTAATTGAAATTTCAGTTTACAAAGGAGTGCTAAAAGTTCTCAGCCCAATCAAGAAAGGATTTAAAAAAAAATATCAGTTTGGTCAGATTTTAGGGTGTGATTTGGGTGGAAAAATTTTCACCGCCCCCACTTTCCTTACACTTTTCACCTAAGGGCACATCTAAGAAGTGCATCTTTTGAAGAGACATAGTAGGAAACATTGATAATACTCCACTTATTTTTGGGTGTAAAATTCTATTTAAAAAAAATATGAATTAGTTTCAAGAAATATTGAAAATGATTAAAAACAAAACAAAAAAACAACCAACTCAAAATCACTGTATTTAAAAATAGTTCCAAATTAACTGCCTCCAGAGAGGACATCTAACTCTAAAAAGAAACTTAACTTCAATCTAACTGCAAACAGAAATGTCAATCTAGCTGCAAAAAGACACTTAACTTCAATCTAACTGTAATAAAAAATATAGCTTCAAAAATGTTTCCTTCAAACAAATCCTAATGTGAATACATGTGGAGCATAATGATAAAACAAATAATTTCATCGTCCACCCTTAACATCCTTTAATCTGTTGTTCTATGTAATTCAATGTTTTGATTTGTCTTAATTTCTGTTCATGGTATAGAAAATTCTTTATTACATTCTATAACTTGCTAAATTACCAAAAGCTATAATGTCACTGAGGCCATAAGGAGATGATACTGGTTAAAATATGTTATAGGAACATCATCAATGTGATCATTGAAGTGAAATTATTTCAAGGTAAATGGAGTCTTTTCAAAGATTTAGATTTTAAAAATGTCAAGATGTCATGAAATATTCTCTTTCAGTACTTTCTAGCATCACATGGTCAAAATTTAAAAATCAGAAATTTATGCAAGATAGTCTTTAAAATAAATTATATTCTTCTCTGTCACCTCCCCCAACTTTCTTTTTATTCATCTTGGCAGTCAAAGTACCGAGGAGTCCGAACCGTTGTATGATCATCTGGTTTTCCCAAACCAGTACCATTCGGATAGTGAGCACGAACGGGTTTCATCGCCATCTCCCCCACCAGTTTCATCCCTGACTGACTACGAAATCATTAGTAGTGTGGCTGCTCAGACGAATGGAGAACACCTCATCAAACCAAGCCAAGTGAAAAGTCGTCGTAACAAATGTGTTGGTGAGTATTTTCAAATAAAAATAAAATATATTCTCTTCTGTTTCGAAATGTGTATGTACATTTTTTTCTGCAGTGTACATTACAACCTGTCATCTTCAACTCAGCTTGACATAATTTGACTTGTCATAAATGTCTCTTCAGTGAGAAGACATTTTCTTATTAAAAAACTAAACCTTATTTCATTTAATAAACATAAAGATTTCGAAAAATAATTGATTGATTTACTTTTGCTCAAATAGAATTGTACTTTTAGATTTGGTAATCTCCAACATTTTTGTTTTAAATTTTGAAAAGTTATTTTCATTAATCAATTCTCTTTTTTCTTTTTTACTATTATCTTCATCTTACTTTTTACAACAATGTTTTTCATTGGTTTATTTCTCTACCTTCTAAAAGGAATATAGCATGTTAAAATGGTTTTTAAAGTTAATCAATAAGTCAGAAGGTGAAATAAAGAAAGAAGTTCCTGAGGCCTTTTTTTCAGCTGATAATAATGATTCTCTCTCTCTCTCCTTTTTTTTTTTTTTTTTTTTTTTCTATTGTCATCATGAAATGTTTTGCACAATCAACTCCTTGTTTTCTTCTGAGAATTGTGTTTAAAAAGAGTACATCTTAGCAAAGTCTGTGTTAGGTTTAAGCACCATACATTTCCCAATATCAATACAGGCTTATTTTTTCAAAGTGAAAACAAATTATCCCAATAAGAACTTATTTCTTAAAAACTTGATGAATTTCAATTTGGCTTTATTTCAAGAATTAGTTTTCGAAATGTTGTCTACTTTTTAGAATTCTTTCAATATAATATTTTCTCTATGACCTTTATAAATTAGTAAAAATCTAACTAGTTTACTGATTGCATTACAAGCCTGATATAACATTTGTTTCTATTATTATTATTATTATTATTATTATTATTATTAGACTAGTTTACAGATTTCTTTACAAATAACAGCATATATGAAATTGAAGTTTTCTTAACTCCTTACAATTATTAGGTTTTCACATGAGAGTCTTTAAATATATATTTGTTTACAATTATTATTGCTGTACCCTGATTATTCATGGAGTCAGTCTTTTCATCTCCCTATTCTATAAACATCTTGCAACAATCCATCATTGACACCTGGCATTTCTAGTGCAACAGTGGTACTTGTAGTATAACTAAAAGTTACAAAAAAAAAAGTATAAACTTCACTAGCTTGAGAAAAGATGTGTCAAGTATGTTGAACTTGTAGTGTGAATAAGTGTGAAATAGCAGTTTGGTTCCTTAATATTCACTATCTTTTGCCGTAAAATAATTAGCAGTGACTTAAATTCTTCAGAAGTATTTTTAGCTATTTTATTTTTTTTTATTTTTATTTTTTTTTTTACTTCATATGTTTTTGCAAGAAACAGCATAAACCTTTAATTTTGTATGAATATATAAAAATTTATTTATTAAAAGATCATTGATGGTCTCTGTTAACAACAGCAACAGAATCCAAGTTTTGGTCACAGGATACAATGTAAACTTGGATTTTGCATAGAAAGTACATGTTAACATTCATAAAAAAGCAACCATTTTTATATCAGAATTTCAGCCTCTTTTGGTGTTTCTTCTTGACTTTTTCAGATGTGCTGATGAATTATATTTTTGCATGCTTCTTCATCTGTTATTTACTCTCACTGGCCATTTTTCTACTTTTCTGTCACTTTTTATGACTTGCCATTGTAGACAACCCTTTTCTTAATCTTTCTTTTTATTCCCCCATTCATTGAGATTTGAATACTTTCTAACAATCAACTTAAAAGGAAAACAGTCTCAACCTTTGAGTTATAGATGATTGAAAATAAAAAAAAAATTAAAAAAATCTAAAAATCTGTGCAAGATAAAAAAGCAAGGAAATATAGTTCTTGGATAATATCCATTTCTCTTTGATTATCAGAGTTAAGCATCATTATGTCCAGTCATAATTGAATAGGTAATTTCTAGATAATTTATTAGTAAAATTAATCCATATAATTTTTAGTTGAATAGCTTGGTTATGTATTTGAATAAACCAATTTTATCTTCTTTGGATTTCATTTAAAATTACTTTTTAAGAAATGTTAGAAGATAATTTTGGTAGTTTAAAATCTCACTTTTTATTTTCTCTGTAACTTTTCTGGTAAAATAATCTTAACAGTACTATCTTTTGTTTGTACCAAGTATTCAGTTGTTTGAGAAATCTCCAATGATATAGGTAAAATTTTGTAATCCCTAAACTACTTTTTATTTATTAGTCAGTTAGTCAGAGTTATGTGCCATTCGTGATACACACTTAGGTGATCATGTATATATCGATACATAACTGACAAGGCAGATTTTTCCCACAGTAGGTTGCCATTTCTTTCTGCAGTAGACCTGTTGCCATCTAAGGCTACAGAACCTGGTCTGTCCTGCTATTTACACATAGCTGGGGGGAGAAGAAGAGGATTCATACCTTTCCCAAGGGTATTAGCACGTAAGTGAATGTAATGGATTTGACTAGAATTTGAACTTGGCTCTCTGATTCCTCAATCTGAACTGCTATCCATTACTCCACCATGCCTTTATTGGTCACTGATACTTTTTACTAGATGCTTTGAGGTTGAGGATCATAATATCTGTCATCACTAATGATGGAAATTATTAAAGTAAAAATATTGATTTACATACAACCTCACATCCCCATAAATTTATTATGGGAATAAAGATGATTTTATTTTTCATATTTTTTTTCAAATCTAAGTAAAATTAGTTAATTTTAGTCATTTTTTTTTTTTTAAATTACTATGAGTATGACTATGCTGGCATAATTATTTCATAAAAATGTATTTTCTTGTCTACATATCCCACCTTGTAAATCAATAAATACAAAACAGAAATTGAGAATTTTGGTAATTTGAGTTTGTCATTTAAATGATTCTTTTATTAAAGAATAATTTCTAATTGTAATATTCTGGGTAAATTAATGACTCAGTTGAATTAAATCCATTTTTCAGTGGTAAAAATATAGTCATTCAGTTTCTTACTCAGTTACAATGTTTCTTAGTCTTTTGAATGCTAACCTCTTTAATGCTCTGTACTTTGTTTCCATCTACTCCTCTTAAGGGCTTACTCATTAACCAAAAAAAAAAGGACACCTTTCTCTTAGAAATTACAAAATAATAGATGTGAGGTCATTCAATATGAAAGTATATCTGTTGGGCTATGAAGCTATTTTGTCTAATCTATTCATATTCATTCACAGTGCTATCAAGATGGCTTGAACCACCACACTTTTGGCTGTAAATGAAAACAAAACACAAAACTAAATTCTTCCTCTTGGCCTCAATCTATGATAATGATATCATTTGTTTTAAAATAATTGCTACCATTAATTCTTTTTTTTTTTTTTTTTTTTTTTACAAATATTAACTTCTCTATAAGTCTTATAAGTGGGAAAAGGTCTCATTCCAGAAAATAAGTGAAAAGTGAATTTAAAATCAAAACAAAAAATACTTAAAATAGAGCAATATATATTTTTAAAAAAATGTTTCATTTTATAAAAAGATCAAATAAAAAAAATAAATAGAATCTGGAATCTTTAAAACTTTTATTTTGTGGTGCCATTCTTTTTATGTAGTATTTATGTTGATAATTTATATTAAGTAGACCTTAAAAAAAAACATCCATTTGTTCAAATTCAATAGTAAGGATACTGAAAATTCAAATGATTTCATTGATGTCTTTACTTTAAAGAGTGTATCATTTTAGTTGTCTGTTCATTTGTAAAGATTAATATTCTACTTTTGGGTTTGTTTTTGATTAAATGTTTTTTCTTCTAGATTATCTCAAAATATAATTTGATTCTGTTTTCGTATAAACTTAAAAATTAATAATAAAAGAAAACAAAAATCTCTTATCTAACAGAACATCACAATAAATTTAAGAATCTATGCCTTTCAATAAACTTGAATTTTTCTCTTTGCTGCATGAATAAAGTAACTTGTCATATAATAATGCATTAATCTTATAACATTTTTTTAGCAATAAACAGGTTAAAGGAGAGGGCTTAATAAAGTGATTTATTTTTTAAATATTTATTATACTAGTAATTATAAAAATTTAAATTCATATTTTAGAGATTGGTTGTGTTTTCATTATTGATTTTTAGGTTCAACTTCACTACCTGAAGACATGTTTGTAGTGATAGGAAATCCTAATTTTCTTTTATAATCTACCTGTTGTTAATCAAATATGAGAAACCACAACCTCTTTTAATCACATTCTTAATTATTATTAGATTGGGTCAAAAGTAATTTTCGTCTTTTGAAACTAATTGTAACAACAAATATATTATTTTAACTACTAATCATATGTGGCAGTTAAATTTTGAGTACATTAAGGCTAATACAGTACATTTTAGCGTTAACAAATTCGGAGTACATTAACATAGTTTTTGTGTGGCAGTGTATACAGTGGATTAAAGAATAAATTTTGTGCCCCCATGAATGGAAAGATTGAAAGTGCATTTATGTTACATAATAGTAACTCCAGTAAAGGAATAAGACTATGGAGACATTTTGAAAAATATGCAGTATGAAATTGGCAAGTATGAAATTGATTTGCAAAGTTTTGTTCTGGCAAAATATCATTGGAAGATGAATTCTCAAACTTTGATGATGAAACTCTAAAATCATGAGTAGGAAGTAATCTATGGCAAAATAATTGACAATTAGCACAGATGTTAAACATATCGCAATCTACCATAGGCCAGTTCTTAGAAAAGAAAGCCGAGTATTTTGGTTTCACATACTCTTAGTGAAAAGAACAAAGTAGACCAGTCTCTTTTTACAACAGAGAAGCAACCTTCTTTAACAGGTGGTGCAAAATGACAATGTTTAATGCAAAAAGCAGTGGATTGACAAGGATAAATCTCCCCAACTGATCCACCACCACCACCAAAACCCGCTTTTACTACCTTCTCCCAATATTCAATCAAAAATATAATCATAGAACTGTAAGGCATATTTAGTTCAGGTATTTCTATATGAGTCATCAAAGCTAATTCTCTGGAATAGAAGAAAAGCAAATGTTGTATCATTCAGTATTTAATAATAATGCAACACTTGGAAATGAGCACAATTTAAGGAAAGAAAAGATAGTGTTTAACAATATTTTGAAATATTGTTAAACACTGTGTCTTTTCTTTCCTTAAATTGTGCTCTTCTCTAAGTGTGGCAAAATATTGGAAGAGTTATGTCAATCATTTTATTAAATAATAATAATGTTTGTTTTTCTGGATTTTATATGCTAATTGAAATGAATCTTTTTTCAGGGCCAGATGAGGATGATTTGGAAGGTACAAACAGCTAATTTGCTGTTGCTTCTTGTTTTTCCTCCTTTTTTTTTTTCCCTCTCTCTTGTCTGTCTCTGTTTGTCTGTCTGTTATGTGTTGTCTATATGCCTTGGATATTTAAAAAAAAAAAATAAATAAATAAATAAATAAAAGAGATTGTTTGCTCTATTGCCCCACCCTCTGCCATTTTGCTTTGGCGTGTTTGCATAAAGCTTTTTTTTTTTTTTTTTTTTTTTTCTTCTCCATTTCCAACATTCCCTTCTCCCCTCATATACCTTCCATAATGACATGGGTGGACTGCACTAAGACGACACACGAACATTTACCATCTTTCATTTTACCTCTAAAACTCCTCCCAAGTCATATTTTAAAATGTTAATCTTTTGGCTTTTTTTAATATCTCAACTCACTTGTATTTTATGCTTTGAAAGCCAATTGCAAATTACCTTTTCAATCCCGAGTCCTTTCTTCATGTTGTCGTCTTTTTGCGAGATGCTTTTTTCAGATCTTATAATGGCTGCTGCTGTTGATTCAAAGCTTTTATGTGAAGTTCTCTTATCACCTCATCCCAAATTTAAAAAAAAAAAACCTGACTGATCCTTTGCATTTTTTTAAAAGATTACACAATCCCCAAGTATCTTTTGCAATGTTTAGAGAGTGAAATACTTGACAAATGTTTCAGTTCATAATCACAAGAGTAATTCAAAACGATGAGGAGAATGCCGTGTTGCTTTTTGTTATTTCACTGCAAAGCCCATCTTTTTGTTTCATTTTTCACAGTTCATTGTCTCTTACTTGCTTTAAGCTTTACTAGGGAACTTTATGTATATGTATACATAATTGCATATGCATACCTAACATATATTTTAAAGGTCATTTAGGACAACAGTTTCTAATGTGTTTTTTTTTTTTTTTCTAAGGGTCATTGGGATTGTTTCATCCATTGTTTGAAAAAATTGTTAATGAATGCAAAGAAAATAAGATTTTCGTTGATGAATTCAAATTGATTTTAATGGATTAGTTTTTATTGGTTTTTAATTTATAAAAACAATTTCTGTATTTTGTTCAAACTAGTTTATGGCAGAATCTGTTTGGGGTTCATGCTCTTTCTAGGGATTATTTGTTTGAAATAACTACTGATTGAAATTTTCATGTAGTAAACCCTGCCAATATTATAATCAACAGACTATTTTCCTCACATGAAGGCAATAGATTTCTCTTTATATTACTAACAGTTTCAGTGAACTTGTAGAATAGCCAGTTTTAATAAAAATTTAAATTATCAAATGTTTAATTATTTACAGAAAATATACTGGTTTAACTCTCTCTTTGGAAAACAAATTCAATCAAAAGGTCCCTGGGGTGCTATAAAAACTGCAGTAAGTTATGTTAAAGCCAAAATAGTTAAAAAATAAACAAAACCAATAGTTGAAAGTATGATTAAGTTTATAGCCCATATTAATATGTAAAATAATTTATTTAATTATATCGAAGACTGCATTAAATGTGTTTCTCTGACTTATATGATTTAGGTTTATTAATAAATAAAAAAAATTTCATAAATAATAATAATTTTTATAATGAAATCTAACTAATCCAAAACATTGTCAATGATTTTAATAAGGATTGATATTATAAAATGAAAATCATACACCATATTACATCAGTTGTTTAATAAGAGTTTTAATTTAATATGAAAACATTGACTTGAATATTAAATCTGACATAATGTGTGTATGGGGTTGGGGTTCTAAAAAAAGGTTCTTGGCATGACACACTTCCCTAAATCTGACCAAATGGCCAAGCATCAGAATTTGAGACATCACTTCTTATTCAAGGCAAAAACTTTTCAGCACCCCTTTGTATACACACGTTATATTTAGTAGATACATGTGTTTAAGTAGACATCTCTGTTTTTTGTTATTTTTTTTTTAAACAGCATAATTGTTGTCTACTAGCCTGGGTTTTCAAGAGTCTTTAATAAAGAAAATATGCCCTTAAATATGATAAAAGAAAAAAAAAAAACAGTAGATAAGAATTGTTTATAAAATCACGTCTACTTAAACATGTGTATCCACTAAACATAATGTATATAGTAGCAAGAATTATCTTCTGAATATTTTTGTCATTATTATAATTTTTTTATCTTTCTGTTTGGAAATTTTCTCTATAGTTTTATTTATTAGAATTTTGATTTTGTGTGGAATTTTTACTTTGGTTTGTAAAGAGAAGAATATTTGCCTTGAATATTCATCTCCCTTATGTCAATCTTGTGTAACTATCTAATCATTATATTCCTTTTTTAAATGTTCATTTTATAGTTTCTTTTTAAATCCACTTTGTTTTTCAATCGCTTCAAATATAACACAAATAAAACTTTCAGATTTCACTCTGAATAACCAATATGAATAGAAGATATAAAACAATAAAACAGGAATGTAAGTAAAACGGAATAAAACAGGAATATAAGTAAAACAGAAATGTAAATAAAACAATAAAACAGAAATGTAAGTAAAACTATAAAAGAAATTGTTGTAGTTGTTAGCCAATCATGGGGAGTCATCTGATGAAATGTGGGGACATAAATAAAAAAGTTTAAAAAATTTTAGTTTCAATATTTCAAAAACAATTTTGTCTTAAATTTTTATTTCAGTTTTATATAAACATATTATGTATCCATAATACATATGTCCATATAGGTATGCACAATATATGTATAATATACAGCTGTGTGTGTGTGTGTGTGTGCGTGTGTGAATAGATTTAGTATGTATTCATCATGTGTGTTGTTTGCTTCTTTAAGTAATGTTTCCTGCTGTTGACATATTTATCTTTTTCTCCTGTTCTGTCATAATTGAGTCTGTTCAAGTGGCTATGAATGTATTGTTGTCATATCTATTTGCTAAGAATTCTTCGCATCTCTCTTTCGCTTTCTTTTATATTCATTTTCATTCCATATTTTCTATAAAGCATTAATGAAATCTTCATTTATTCTTCATGGTTGGACATTTTCTTAAGAGATTAAAGAATTTTTTTTCCTATATGGTCTCATTTTCATAAGGTCATGGGTCAGAAAGATGGGTTCTTACAAAATTATGCTCAAGGCATACCTAATATTAAATGACATTTTAGTGATTATAATTCTTCACATTTGTTGAGTTATCAATGTCTGTCTTTGGAATAAAAATAGAAATTTGGTTAGTGAACAATCCCAGCTTATAGGAAATAAAGATTACTAATAAAATATGACTTAACATTTATCATTCTGTATATGACTTCATTTGCTGTACAAAAAGTTTATCCTGCCACTGAAGGTGACTCTAATCTCTGAATTTGAATTTGTTTGAATTTCATAGTTGTGTTGTCATATCCTGCTATGGCAACAGAAAACAAGTTTGCATGAAATTAACAATAAGGATACTGAAGTTTAGAGGCCTTGAAAAAGAATGCAGTGGAAAGGGAAGTAATATTAATAATGCAGTGTGCTAATGGTTAAATAAAAGGGATTTATGGTGAATTGATGCTTTTCAAGAAATTGATTCCTCATTCAAAAAATCACAAAGACTTTAGTTTCACATAATAAATTTATGGTTTTGTCTCTTAGAATAAACAAGTACTAAACCATGAAAAAAATTTTGTTTGACTTTCAGACAAAGTGTTGTTACTTTTAAGTCTAGATTTATTTGGACCAATTTTCTCATTTTACTTGTCTTTATCACAGTACTTTGGTGATTGAAAATTGGGCCTTCATTTCTGAGGCAATGTACAGTTACCATTACAATCTACCCAGCAGTTAAAAATTAACGATAGATAGAAAAGCTTTATATGTTTTTTTGTTAATACATATATTTACAATGTAAATCAAAGCTTGTCTAACAGACAAAGGCTTCAACTAAAAGCTTCTTTATACATAGATTTAACATTATACAGTGAAAATTTAAAATTAATTTTTCAACTTAGATTTACCTCTTTACTTGAACTTAGATTTATTGATCCTTCCTTGTAAATAAATGGCGATATCATTAATGTGTAAAATTGCTTCATATTTGATATGCATATATTAAAATAATTACTTAGATTATACAAAATAAATAATCATATTGTAGATATTAGACAAATATTTTTTCTAATGAATTCTCATAGATGGAAAAACAAAGACTTATAGTGTTGTCTTTTTTATATCATCAATTTATTGATCATTGACATCATGGCTACTCATATCAAAGATAAATATTGATTTATAATGCTTTGGCTGTTCTGAAGTCTTCAAAACAAAAATGCAAAAAACATACCTAATAAAAAAAGGTATTGATTCTTCTCTTTGTTTAATTAGTTTCCCACTTATTTCTCCTAAAAAAATAATTAGTAATGGTTTTCCACTATTGTGGATCATTTAGTAGGATTTTGTTTTTACTTGCTTTTGTGTGTTGTTTTTAGCACTGTATTTATTTATTGAATACAATGCTAATTAATGTTTGGGCTTTGGTCTTGTGGTTAGTATTTAAATAGTTATTTCTTGATCATAACATGCATATATTTTCAATGTTTGCTCTCTTTCCTTTTGCTCATTCTTTCCTTTCCACTTTGTGTGAGTTGTTGGCCTATTTAGCTAGTCATTGTCTCATATAACCCTATTTATAAGCTTGTCTACATCCATCTGCCTGTATATGTGTGTGTGTACTTTATATACTTTTTCTGAAAAGATAAAGTATATATTCAAATAAGTGTATTTTACACCAATAACCTTTCATGATAAGTCTTTTATCTGAGTATCATTTATATTTGCAGATGTATCTACTGATAACTTGATATTTTCTCCAGAGTATTTTTCTAGTAAGATATTTCTCCAACAATTCCAGTTGACTTGTTCTTGTTTTCATTGAAAACTGCTGTTGGTGACTTTGTATTTGATGTTTTGTCATATTCCCATCTTTTTCTTTTTAAGGTAATTATTGGCAGTTATTATTTTTATGGGAAAATAATCATAGCCTTTCTTTAATGCTTAGGCTATATAAAAATGTTTTGCAAAGATATGCATTTTTAAATCCTGTTAATTAAAAGCATCCCAAACTAATTTGATTATTAAAAATAAAAACAGTCCTTCAAGTTTTTCTCTTCATATCAGTTAATATAAAAAAGCAAATGCACTTGAAATCAACAGAATGTGACTTCCTACAGCAAACAATGAATCAAGTTTCAATTTTGTTATATGTATTGAGATTGTATCATTATATCATGACTGATTAATGAGACACATATGTTTTTATTATAATTGACCAATCAGCAAGTGTCTCTTTTCACTTGTCATTTACTTGTTGATTTTAACTGATTGTTGTAACCAGTCAGTTCATACTTTCATTGTCACCTAGCTACCTTTTTGTAATATATTTTTCTTAGCTTTGGAAAGAACATCACTTTGATAGTAAAAAGCATTGTCTTATATTTTCTATCAAACTTGGGGTGCCATAAGTTTAGCATGAATTTGGAACTGTTCTTGAAAACCATTTTTAGCCTCAGCTTAGATTGGAAGGCCAAAGACAAAATAAAAAGAGACTATTTTCTATAAAAGTAATAACAGCCATTTAAAAAAAAAAAATAACCCTAGTTAGACTTGTTTGATTTTTCTTTTCTCCAGAAACATTTTGGGGATATTGCAACATTTAAAAAAGTTGAAGGATATACAAAAACAAAATGTTTGTTTTTGTGTTTGAAAAAAAAAAAAAAAATCTTTTTATTGTTCATGCACTAGAAAAAGAAAAAAAAAACTAAAACTCTTAGTATTCATTTTTGTTCTTTCATTAAATTCTTTGAACTATCTTCAATTCTGAGAACATTTTTACCACATTCTTTATTCTGTGGAACTGCTGAACAGAAAACCTAACAATGATTGGCTGGCATAGTCTCCTACCCTCCTTCCTCAATCCTAATCCCACCATATTCTTGTCCATTCTTCCACCTTGACCATCTGTACTCTTCATCATGTACAAGTGACTTTTACAATAACATATACAAAATAACATGCTTCCCAAATTTCAGATAGAATTAATAACCATTTTTACAATAGAAAAGTCTATTTAAAAAAAGAATTATTCCAGTTCTTCATCTTCAGATGAAATATAGATTTACTACATGCCAAACATCATAAAAAATAAATGGTTAATAAGAGAAGTTTTCTTATATTTATGTCTGGAAATTTCTAACACATTCTGATTAAAACAGGTAGTTATATAAAGCTGGTGACTCCCCCTTTTTTCATTTGCATTCAAGTCATCTGAAGATCGCATGAGCATGAAATTCTGGTTACGACTAGAGCCATCCTTTCATAGGAATTAACGTCATTAAGTATTTTTTGCTTTATCTATGCTTCGAGCATTTTACTGAGTAGGTAGCTTTGCCTTTAGGCCCTTTTCTTTTTTTTCACTATTGGCATTTTTATTTGAGACTTTATCTGCATAAGGATTTTAGGTTTGACAAGTTGTTCATTAGTTTCATTAATAGTTTTGGTTTTCCTTGTATATACACACACACAAATTTATAAACTGGTCATGTTTTGACCAGAATGATAGCTACAGTCTCATATCATCTGCACATCATGTATTAAAAGTTAGTAAATCTCCCTTGGATGTGTTGAATTCTGTAGTTATAGAGAAAAAGGAAGACTTTGATTTAAGGGCGAATTGTTAGGCCCAAATGAGCATTTCCAAAATGGCATAGCTTTTGAGCTGCTCACATTTATTTGTGGTCAGTATCTATCAGCCATCGTCAAAGGAGGAAATAAGGCATTATGCAGTCTGTAATTATCAATGTAAGAGTTTCACACCAAATATGACCCAACAACAGGATTACAAGTTGCAGCTTTAATCAAAGTGATAGGAAGAATGTGTCACAATACACGGAATTTGAATCTTTGTTGCATATAAGGCTGCATAGCGACAGGACAGCCAGAGTATCTATACTCATCAAAGTCTCTTGTGCCATAAATAGGTATGTATGCATTAGAACTGAACCTTGTATCAGTAGATGATTACCTGGTTTAATGAATCTCACTTTATCCTGATTAACAAGGTATGTATGCATTGTTATCATGGGGAAGCAATGACGCCAATATTCACCATGAGAAAACTGTAAGCATCAACAGTGGGATGGTTTGGATAACATTCTGTTATAGAACACTGGGTCCTACCATTTATATGGATAGTACTTTGTCATATACCAGCTACCTCATCATCGTTGAAGATCAGGTACATTCCTCTATAGGAATAGTCTTCTATGATGAGATTAGCATCTTTTAGCAGGACAATATGCCTTGCTACAATCTGCATAGGTTCTACAGGAATGGATAGAAAAACAGGAAGAAACATCACAATCCTATTGAGCATTTATGGGATTCATTGGACCAACAATTTCACTCTACAGGACTTTCACCATATCAATCTATAGCAGTTAAAGATCTCTTAATATACTGGCACCAGATCCCAGAGAAAATATTGGGTAGTTTTTGAGTTCATATCTTATCAGGTGAGAGTTATATATGGAGTACCAACATCTGATTAATTAGGTGTTCATAATATTTTGTTCACGCACACACTGAAAAGTTATTGCAGATTTTTTGGAAGAAGGGCTTCATTGTTTGGTAGAGAACTTTTCAGTACCTCTGATATATCCTTAGCTGTTAAGCATTAAAAAGTAACTTATGGAATATGATTTCATCAATGATCAGAGATTAAGTCAGTAATCTTAATCTGAAGGAGCATTTTTTATCTACATTGTTTACACTTGGATTAATGTCCTCATTTTTGTTGTTATTATCCCTGAAGGGTATACAGATTGACAGACACCTGAAGATAGTTGAAGGCAAAAGTGGACAAAACATGACAATTAACAACAAAGATGAAGACATTAATCCAAATCTAAATAACTCTTCATCCCAGAAATTCAAGCAGAGATAGAATTTATATAGTGCATTTATTTGCATATTGGTTTTGCAAGTTGGTAATGAAAGCTACTACTGAGTTCTTTATAAGTTTAGTCTTGTACCAAACTTGGTCCAAGTAAAAGTCCATTACTTCCAACTTGACAAAAATTTCAGTGATTTCTGATGAAAATAAAGTTAAATCAAATGAATAAAACCTTATTTAACCAACTTAGTGTTTTAAACACTAAGTTGGTTAAATAAGGTTTTATTCGTTTGATTTGATTAACTTTATTTTTATCAGAAGTCACTAAAATTTTTGTCAGTAAGGTCTTTTTTATGAAATTGCCATTTTATTTTCAGTGATGTAATATTTTCATGTTTAAGAAATTAGAGAATAGAAGCTATTATTTAAAGTTGATGTAAAAAAAAAATGCATTGAAATATCACATCCTATTTCTATTTGTTTTTCTGTCTGATCAAATAGTTAAAAAGAAAAGTTCTTGACATACATTATATTTTAATGAAGTCTTTATTTCCATGTATAACTTGAAATCACAGAAAGTGAAACAGTAAATAAGAAATTTCCCTGTCTTGCAATTTACATATTAGGCATTCATGTATATGAAATACATGTTAAATTCTGTCTTGTCCAATGCACACATCTGTGCATACTCAGAAATACAGTTTTATATGGATGCCGATAATAAATGCATTTCTCTTGATAAATTATTTTGTGAAAAGACTTTCAATATTTTAAATTGTATTGTTTCATAACTGTTAATCTGCAGTTCTAATAGAAAATATTACTACCGCCATTCCGCAATAAGTGACAAGGTTTACATTATACAATGAGTGGAATTGGTCACTTATTGAATAGCATGTTTCTCTTGACATATTTTAATATTCACACTTATTCCTTACAGAAATACATATACTTGCATAATAAGTACTTACTGACATGTATCCATTTATTGATATAGATTTCATAAGTAATCATTTTATTTTGAAAATTAACTTCTTCCATTCCTCCTTCTGTTCCTTTTGTTACACTTGCAACCCAGATTCATCAAAGAGAGAAGATTAATTATTCTGTTTCAAAATTTGGCAATCTTTAACCTTTGTAGTCACAAATAAATGGTGTGTCAAAAAGACAATTTTTCCCTTGACACCACTATTGTTTTACTTAATCTTTTTATGATTTAAAAGAAAAAAAATCAGTATATCAGTATAAAAATATGAGGACAAATGTGTTTGAGAATAGGAAAAACTGTCAAGTTTTTACTGCAATCCAGGACATTTATTGGCTTTGACAAAAATCCAATAGAGACCTACAAATAAGGATGGAACTCAGCAGCAGTGGCTAGCAAGACCAACATGCTTTCTTTCATATACATGTGTATCATTAGCAATATAGTAGATACTTATGAAATTTAGTTTTGTCTGACCCACTAGTTGGAAACCCAATGAGATTGAATTCACTATGCTAGCAATAGAAACTGAAACATTTGCTTAACAGTACATTTTATGGTAAGGTTCACACATGACCAAAACACATTCCAAATTATGTATACTCTACTTTAATCTATAATAGAAATATTGCTATGTTATGAAAAATATATCTTAAAAATACATTTATCCTTATTCAGAATTACAGTTCTATTTTTTTTTTATATTTCAAAAGTTTAAAATAAGGCATATCTACAATTTGATAGATAAGAATAATTACTATAATTAAAACTGATAATAAATCTACTTTTCCCAACATTTCAGAGTCTCCTTCTCACCCTACCCAACAGTCCTGTACATCTGATCTCTGGTCAGTTGCCTTATTAGCCAACCAGCAGTGTGTAGTCCCACCTGTGTTATCTGAGGTCATGTATCTGACTGCCCATTGCTCATTTTCAGAACAATATAGAGAGCACCATCGCAAATCCTACCCAGCTGCAGATGTGACCGATGCCATGCACTTGTTTAGTTTGTACGGAATAAGCGATCCAGTAGCCGAGGCTGATCTCCATCCACCGTCCGCATACTACCCCTTCAAGAAATCAAGCAGCATGGGGTTGGCCAGCAAAGAGGAGCTTGAAGGTGATTGGCTGCTTTTTGCAGTCTCCTCTCTCTCGCGCGCACACTTAAGAACACTCACACACACACACACACATTTAGGCATGCCTTTGAACACACAGTTCCACATAATCACACAAACTATTATGAAGATGTTTCAAGGCACATGCTGGCCTACATAAATACATTTTTGCTTACATTTCTAAACAGGTTACTGCTTTTTCATTTAGAAATACATAAAGTTTTACACATTAACATTTGCATGCAGAATCCAATTCAGGCACAAATGTAACTCCCAAACAAGAATATAAATTCACATGTAATAGGATGTATAATACTTAAGTATAAATGAGTCATAGACTCACATACACACACATACACACAAAAACATATACACATTTATTCATTAACATTAAGGCAAGTTTTCATTAGTGACTGCAAAAACACATATAAACATTCTCTAATATAATCACACACTAGCACAGAAATGCCTCTTCATATGCACACTTATTGTCATATCCACATGTGCAAATTATTCTACACACACACACACACACCTGAAATACTGTGTGCATATGTTTTGTCCGAAAGCTGCTTATTGGATCCATTTTGCTCAATGTTCACTTTGTAGATGTCTGACCTGACATTTCTTTCTTCATCTACCACTGTGCCTTCCTTCCATCTTTCCTTTCCCAGTCATGGCTTCAGTTGTTTTTCCCAGTCTGGTGACCCTGTAGTATTGGTTGGAGGTGGCTGGCACTGACAACGGTGCAAAGTTCCTTTCAGCTGCACATGTCACTCTCCTTTAGTCATTTATCCTTCTTCCTCACACTCTTTTTCACTTTCACTCTCCCACCATCAACACCACCCACACTGTTGTCCTCTGTCCATTTGCTATGCTACTATCATTGTTTTTGGTTAAAATGTCTTTTGTTTTAGTTTTTTTTTTTTTGTTTTTGTTTCTTTTTCAATTTTTTTTTCTTCTATGATTTTTATTCATTTATTTTTTTTTTTTTCCACACTAACTTTTTTAATGTCCTGCATGCCTCAAATGTATTTCTGGCAGATTTGTTTGGTATTTTGCGTTTGCTCATCACTCTCTTTCTCTGTCTATATATATATATATATATATTGATTGTGTCGAGAACACTTTTGGAAACAGCAACTGCTTACAGTGTTGATGATTTTTCTTATATATACATACACAGCTTTCTTATCTTTAACTTGGAGCATTTTCATCTGCAACATTTTAAGAGAATTTTTAAAAAGTTTCTCATATACTCAATATTAGGTTATCTGCCCTTACATTCCATCAAATTTCATTTTACTTTTCATGCTCATTAGAATTTCTATTTTACAGTAATTCAAATTGTCGTCTTCTTTTTTAATCTGTACTTATTCATATCTATCTTTTAAAAATAATCTTATAAAACACAATTCTCATATTAAAGAATATATAATTAATATTTAAGTAAAATATGCCATAACACATTATTTTAATTTTTAAAAATTGTTTGAATTGGGCCAATATATAGTAATAAATGCTAAGTTATTTATTGATAACTTTTGAAAATCATTTTATTTAATAAACAATGCATATTCATTGTATTTCAGTTATAGTTTCATCAAATAATTAAGTTAAAAAAAAGAATATTCTTAGAGGTTCTTACTAATATTTTTGTGACTTGGCTTTAAAACGTAGGTTATCCAAGTGTGTAGGTTTATATGTTGGTAAGAAATTTGTCCAGATGATTATAGTAAAGTATTTTCAAAATATTAATAAAGCCAGTTCTTTGACTTAACTCTTTTGAGTCTAATGCACTAAATTTCATTGAGTTTAAAAGAGAATCAAGCATAATAACTGCCAAATTCCAGACATTTTACACATATATGCATAACTATTGATTCACATCTCACTTGTTGTATTACATCAGTGTAATTTAAACAGTTATTGGATTTTAATACAGCATTGTTTTTATTGCTATAAATGTTATTTTAGTGGATACAAGTACATCTACTAAAATAATGTTTATAGTCATAAAAATGTGTGTGTGTGCACACATTCCATATTGCAAATGAACCTTATAAATAATGAGCACCAGAAACGAGAAATTTCTCTCTAGACACATTTGAACCTTCATTGAATACTTGGAACTTGTTTCTCAAAATAACCAACAAAAGAATTATTATGTTTACTTGAAGAGTCATGTCTAAAGTCTCAAGCCTGTATGATAACCAAAACTGACATGTTCCCCAGATCATCACAAAACTGGCTATAGGTTTTAAGGAGAGGTTAAATCACAGTCCTTCTCCTAGCTGAGTTGCTATTTCTCACTGGTCTATCACTAAATCTCTATTTTTCTGGAGCTTTCTTCTTTTTTTTCTTTTTTTTTTTTCTTTTTTTCTTGTCATCATTTATAGTTGGCCATGCTGATGCTTGCTTGATTGTGTTATTTCACTTCAAGAAACATAAGTGCAATGCTGCCTCAGATGTTGTTTGTTTTCTTTATTTTGTTTAAGTATTTCAGACCTGTTGATTGTCCTTGTAATTTTGGCCAATGAACATTAGAAAAAAAGAAAAGAAAAAAAAAAGCTAAACATTAATGACTGGAACTATTATGTCTTTGTCATTCTCTGGCATACCGAGTTTCTTGGTAGCTTATTGAAAATTCTATATTTTTTTCTTTAGAGTTGAATTAGAAATTAAAATTAGTTTCTTTAATTATGTATTTATTAACTTAAAAAAACTGATTTGAAATTTATTTATTCAGAGTACATACTCATATTTTGATATTTAAGTTAATGCAAATTTTTTCCTAATATTCAAAATGTATAAATGAATCTTTCATTACTTTAAATTCACTTAGATAAATTTTAGGGATAAACAAAAGAAAGAAAACAATAATTGTAGATAAACATGCCAGTCAGCATCAGATTTCAAATTTTGGCATACTTGTAGCTTCATACCTGAAAAAAAAAATGAGGTGTCAAAATGGCAGTTTTTCCCTTTACACTGCTATTATTTAAACTACCTTCACCCCCTGCTAATGTTTGTTGTGTTAAAATTGATGATTAGAATTGTAACAAAAACTAAACATATGAAAGTTAAATTGTTTTTTTTTTTTTTTTTTTCTGGGAATTTACAACAAAAATATTAAAAATTGTTTATTTAAAAATTAAGGCAATTAAACTAATGCAATATTTATCATTTACCAATTTATAAAGACATAAATGTGAAAATCATTTTTTATTCATAAATTTCTAAACATTTACTAAATTATTCAAATATGTGAACCAACTATAAAGAAATCTTTATTATTTACCATTTAATAAAGTTTGAATTGATTGGCAATTAGCTGATGTTTTGCCAATCGTTCCAATAAACAATGTAATAAATAGTGTAAATAAAGAACCTAATAAATAAATGGTGTTTATTATTTTTGTTGTCAATTGTCCAAAATAAAGAAAATGTATAAATTAAGTTTCATATGTTTAGGTTTTATTAAAATTCTAATCATTGCTTTTTAAAACAATAAACATTGTTGAGGAGTGAAGGTAGTTAAAATAATAGTGGTGTAAAAGGAAAAGCATCCTTTTGGCATTCCATTTCCTTGTGGGCATGAAGATCCAAGATTGCCATTTTTTTTATTTTTTAAAGAAATACCAGTACTAAATAGAAGTTAGACATACTCCTGTTTTTGGCTAATGTCCTGTTGGTGAATCTTTTGAAGCAAACATCTTTCAACATGATATTTTACTCATCTGAATAAACATTATGTTGGAACTTGTCCAAAATTTTGAAGCTCCAAAGATGCTTCATTGGTTGTTTTTTTTAATTTGTCAACCATTTTATAAAAGTTAATTATCCAACTTATATTTTTCTCTTCCTAAGTATTCCTAAGATAAAATTAATTAAAGAATATACATGTTCACTTCTAACATCATTGGACAAAGAATCTAACAATACAAGCAAACTTCCAACAGTGAAACTTATTTTGAAATTATTACAGAACAAAATTATTTTCTGTATATTGAATGACAGAAAATAAAATTGCAACCTCCTTGAACATGTTTCAATTCAGTCATAAAATGTTCAGGTAATATTATTGGATTAGAGTAAATGATCACAAATACAGATCAATACATTTACAATTTCCGAAATGAGGGCTGAAATCAGCAGTACTACAAAAACACATTAATCTGTATCCTCCTTAGGCAGTGGTTTCCAAATGGTGTACCATGCGTCATATGTGTGGCAGAAGAAGATAGCAAGTAAAGTAGAATGATTGAAAGACAATCAAAGATTTTGAAACAGTTTAAAAAAATTCATATGCCAAAAATAAATGATTTCAAAATTTAAAATATTATTATGGATTACTTGCATAAGTCCCAGAAATAGTTATAAATAATTATTGACTGATTTTATTTTGTGATATTTTTGCATTATATCAAGTATTAAGAATATAGTAATTAGGGTTCACAAATTGAAGGAGAACGTTATCAATCACAATATTCTGACTTCGAATCCACAGTTATCTCCCTTTAACCCACTTGCTGTATTTTATTTTCAAATGTACTTTTTGTCACATAAAACTTGGTGAGTCACAAACAAATTTTCATTCCAAAAATGCATCCCAGAGAAAAAAATGTTTGGAAACCACTGTCCTTGAGTGTTATCTCAGGCTCCCTACTCTTACATGCAGACTAGCATACAGACAGAGAATACCTATTATATACATTATTCTATAATTCTTATGCCTGTTGATGCAATACGTCAAAAGTCATAGGTGGGTTAATCAAATAAGTCAGGTATTGTTCCATCATATCTATTGATGGACAGGTCTGGCAATTGTGCCACTGTTGAGTAGCATAGGCAACATCTGCTGGAACAGTGCATTGTCTTTCTGTTGCAGGAATGTAGCAAAATGACTTGAAAAATGTTGTAACCCTCTTGTAACACTAATAGAGGTATATACGATAGTGTTATTGTATAAGTGGAAGTCTGGCTATAAGCACCTATGCTTGTAGTCTTGCTGCAATTTGGTGACTCTCGTAGTGTTAATATTAACAGTTCATATTAACACTACAGGAGTCAACTTTTCTCTGACCTGTACTGTGGATCTGCTGTGGTCTGCCAAAGCTGCCCTTGTAATATGCTAATCTTGGCAATCATCTGATCTACATGACTCCAGAATCTGATCTGAAGGTGTAAAAATGTTCATTTGACCACCATTACTAACATCAAAGTACTGTTGTGTCACATCACCCCCCACAATACCCCCCCCCCGAGATAGTTCTAATTAAATAAAAAGAGCTTGTGTGCATTACTATAGCGTGACACTTGTTTGCATTGAACTCTTTCACTTCACTGAATATTATCGCAGTATGTGTTGTTTCAGTTAGATGGTGCTCAACAGCTTAGGAAGGCAGTCTATCTAAGGGAAGAAAAATCCTGATTTTCAACCTCTGTTGCCTTTTGGTCATATGCAGTCAGGAAAGGCTATAGAAGTAAATCCAGACAGAAAATCTGGAGTGGAGCCATGAAGGAGGTTGGCTGTCAATATTGACAACTCCTGCAGCCAAGCCAGCCCCAAATGTAATGCTCAGTATTCTTTCTCAGTCCAGCAAGAGGTGGAGGGGGGATGTAGTCTGGGCAGTGCATAACCTCCATATACTATTGCCTGGGCCTGTGCCCAGGAGAGGTCACTCCAGTTTCACCACCAAAGGACTGAATTTTGACCAAACAGGGCATGACTGTTATCTTGCTAGATAAACAGATGCCTATATATGTGCAGTTGTCTGAAGCTTGTGCCCCAGATGATGCACTGGTATGAGAGTTACTGTATCAAAAGATAACCAAAGACTTTAAAAATTTTATCAAATTCAAACCATATAATAATTAGCAATGTGTACTTATTTATATATTTCCTATCCCATCTGAGACAGACTGAAATACAAGCAATAATGATAAGCATTTATTTACAAGTAACAATTACTTTCAAACAAATATATCATAGGCTTTTTATTAATGTTGCTGCAGAAAATGCATCGATCAGTATATATTTTATCTGAATATGTGAATTATGGTATCTTATATTCAACACACTTTTACACTCTAAATATATTATTTACTTTAATTATGTATTTATTAAAAAACTGATTTGAAATTTATTTATTCAGAGCAGATACTCATATTTTGATATTTTAAGTCAACGCAATTTTAGTATTAATATTGTAGGTATAATTACAAGTTCTCATTGTTTAAATACATCCAACAAACAAAAGATATGTAATGAAAATTTTTTCTACTATATGTTATGAGGTAATGATAAATAAATAAGTCATCATTTTTTATAGTTCAGTTATGCTAATATCTACTAACCATTTAACATGAAGATACAAGTCAGTATCCGCATCATTTCTCAGGAGGTTGCAATTTTATTTTACATCTGTTAATCTTCAAAAGTGTTTGTAGTATTTTTATGACTGATTTAATTTGATGTATTTCATATGAGATTTTCTAGAAGATTTTTTTAAATTGCTTTTTCTCTTTTTATCACAATTTCAAAAAGAATTATATATAAAAAGTGCACATCTCGGCTGACTCTATATCCACCACCTGTCATTTCAGTATAATCTCTAACACAAGCTATTTATCTCAATGTTGCTGCAACTGATTACAATATAAACTACCAATGTACACACTAAGTTTGTTGTACATATTAACTTCTACCTTAAATATAGTTATATATATATATATATATATATATATATATATATATATATAGTATGTTGTAGATGAGCCAACACAGAAAAAAACAGTTAAGCTTACTTTTTTGGTGTAAGGCAGAAATAAGTCTCAATTTGAATTACATTTAGTGAAGTACTGTGTGAAATGAGAAACAATTTTCATATAAAATATATACCAAATTTTTCAGATAAAGCAAAAGACAGAGGCTGTAAAATAATTCCCAATATTATTAAACACAACAGACAATAAAACCTTTGAATTATTATTATTCTTATTAATAATAAATTTGAAATTTCAAATGACTGAGATCTGAGTCTGATTGCAATCACAGACCTCTTCCATGAAAGTTTTCACAGAAATTTAAAATAAAAGAAATTGATATATCATTTTTTTTGTCAAATAATTTTTATGATATATTTTAGAAATATTTTTAGTTATTTGTACATTTCTTGAAAATTAGATGGCACAATTTTTAAATTTAGATAAAATTTAAAGTTAGCAATAGAAATAATTATTGAATTAACACCAATTGAAAAATTGAGGCTTTTTTTTTTCTTAAACTCACTTCTTAAAAGTAAATTTGACTTCCCAAAACTGCATGCAAAACTGGACTTAATTATTTTTGTGGTTTCCATATGTGTTTGTTTTTTATAAATATGTGTGAGTATCTTGTATAGATTGTTTGCTTTTAGAAACCCAAAGCATGGATCCCAAGATGTTTGTAAAAGACCACTGACTGCAGTAGCAGTTAAAAAAAAATTTAGCCATTGTCTGATCCAGACTCTGAGCAGCAATGAATTATGGTGTTGTCATTTTTCTTTTAATGATCTTGTCTATAGGTTTGTACCATATTTAAAAGTGTTCGTGTGTCCAATATATCATCCTGCACAAATATGGACCAATTGGAGCTCAGGATCTAATCAAGGGAAACGACTTATGTTTAAGAATTATCTCCCTTGAAAATTTCATTTCCTTTTTTTTTTTTTTTCTAATTTTTATTTTCTAATTTATTTTTTTTCAGTGGAAATTTGCAATTGAAAAGAATGAAGTAAATAATAAATTATGATATTAGATGAAATTAAGTGTGTGTGTGTGTGTGTTTATATATATATATATATATATATATATATACACACACACACACACACACACATTTTGCTCCATAGCAGTAGCACAACTTTAACTTCATGCATGATGAATTTGTCAGATTTTGATTGAAAACTAACCATTTTAAACTTTGAAATATTGATATTTATGCCATACTTTTGATAGTGGAGCAGTCCATTTATTAATGGGGTGAGGATTTATATACACTTAAATATATCTAAATACAAATATATAAATATAATATAAATACAAAGAATCCTATTTAATATATATATATATATATATAATAAAATATTTGTATGTACCTTTTGTACATCTATGTAAATGTGGATGTATATATCTGTATATGTGAATGAGGTGTGTGTGTATATATATATATATATATATATATATATATAATATACTTTTCATTTTATGTCAAAATTTAATGATTCTGTAATAATAATCTAAAGGTTATTGAGTGTTATGTCACTAACTGCCAGCGTGTCTGTAGTATAGATGGTCTTTTAAATTTGCAATCACTGAAACTTAATTTTAGAATTAATTTTTTATTTTTTTATATTTTTTTTCTAGAGTAACTCAAGAAGGATGTATAAGTCACAAGTTTTGGCCATACTAATAGTTTCCTTGCTCAATAACATTTGTTATTATATAACAGTTTTTTGTTTTTTTTTTTTCATTCTTTTGATGTGATGGAATGGTCACATTACTAAATTGTTAATGTTTGCTCTAAACAACTTCTATAAAGAGTATTATTATTTGGAATTTTTTTGTTATTGTGAATTTTTTTTTCTACTTAGGAATGTTCCTATTACAGTTGTACTATTGATCTATGTTCTACCTAAAATTTATCACAATTTAAATTTATTAAAATAAAAGAAGTCTTTTTAGCTTTTTAATATTACTCTAGTATACTTGAAATACTTCAGCTAAAAGCATTTTTCTTGTAAATTCTTCTGCAGTATAATGTTTTTGTGCATCAGGAAAAATAAATCTGCAACAGTCTTTAAAATTTGTTTGTTTATCAATGTTCATTAATTATTAATTCTCCTGTAAGTCTTATAGATTTACAAAACAGTTTATTTTAGTGAACCATTGAAACGGTTTTGACTCTGTCATAGTTCTTAATAAAAGGATTAAAAAAGGCCAGTTTCACTCTTGTCTACTCAACAGAACAATTTGCTATGTTTTTGTAACAGTAATTATGACTATAAATTGATTGCAAAAGTCAAAAGATAGCAATTTAATTTTTTCTGACATCACTCATTAGCAATGTATGAAAGAAACTTAAAATTGATAAAAAAGAAACAGTTCTATTTAGTTACTAGACAACATGAATAAGAGTAAGTTTGAAAGAACAAATATAAAAGTTAATTTTTAAGGATTCTTGTCAGTTGAGTTAACCATTTTAGTGGGAGAGAATTCAATGTTTATCAGTTATATAACTGGCCAAAATCAGCCCCCAAGATGAAACAAAATAGTCAATGGTGATTTTCACAAGATTGCATTCATTTTTCTCCCTGTTACTGAATCACCACAAAAAGCATTACAATCAATTATTCATTATTGCACAATGATCTGCACAATCTGTAGACTGCCATTGACAATTCAGAATGTGGCAAATATTACTAAATACTCAGCAGTATTAAATTATCATTTTAATACCAACCATTGTCAACAAGCTAATGTTGTCATTAAGATTCTTTCAGGCAGCTTATGATTTGGGAATTAATCAAGTTCATACTTTTATTTTTTTAACTCTTATTCTGATATATTTTATACATACATTCCACTACAGTACAATATTTACAATCTGTAACTGTAATAACAATTTCTAATTGCACTAATCTTGATCTGGTTGTGAAGTCTGATTCAACTATTAGAACTTCTCGGCTTACTAAATAAGAATAATAAGTATAACTTGTTTTATAGTAATTAAAAAATACTTCTAATATCAATTAATGTCTGTTTTAAAATATGTGATAATTTTATATTTCAATAACCTTTTTTTTTCTCTCCTTCCCATTTTTTGCTTTTATTAGGATTATTGGAATTCCCTGTTTACGATAGTCCCACCTGCCAAGCAGATGATACGGTATGGGCTGAAAACAACCTGTACAAGTCTACCAAAGGCAGTACCAAGGCTTCAGGGAATCGACTGGAGCCAGGGGTAAGATAGTCCTCCCACTAACTTCCAACCTTGTGCCCCAAGCCATTTGTTATTTCTCTTCCTTTTTAACATTTATAGTGCCACATCTTGCTTAGCATGTCCACTGAGCAGACAGCTCACTTTTTTGGTTGGTCTTTTTGTCCATCCGTCTATCTGTTTGTTTTGCTCATCCTTTCTTATATCCATTTACCTTTCTCTATCCTTGCTAATGTTGCTGCTATGACTGGCCAGAGAAATTAGAGGATGCTGGAAGAAAGCAGGAAGGGAGGAAATAGCCTATCATCATCATTTCAGGCATGTAGGAACTGACATTTTAAAAAAAAAAAAAAAAAAAAAAATGTAACATCCTGAGAATCATCATTCGTAAATTGATAGAAAAAATATAGGCTGCATGGTGTGAAATCTGTCTTTCTCCAGAGCTAAAATCAAACCAAATTTTTCATTTTATTTCAGATTGACAGATGATATCTACATCAAAGCATTAATCATGTACAAGATAAAATCTTCTTGGAGAAACTTGTTGTAAATTTGTTCAGATTAAAAGAGATTCTAGGCAATCATTGGCTGGAATATCAGTTTTGTACTCATCTAATACAACAGTAGTAATTGGAAACAATTTTTATTTTGTAAATAACCAAATTTAAAAGTATTTTTTCGTTTTTAGTTTAATTGAAGCAGTAACAGAAAGTTTGTATACTTGTCATGTATGGGTTTTCAGGTAAAATCATTTGTCTTCTGTTTGGCATCAAAATTAATGTTCCTTATTTCTTGTGCCAAAAATACACATTTTCATTTGCATTTCATAATAATTTATAAAGCACCAACATAAATAAAGAAAGAAAGCATTTTTATAATATCAAAATCTTTTTATATAGTTTGAATTGGTAATTTTTTTTTTTTTTTTTTACTGTGTATAAAGAGCTTAGGAATCACTAGGTTGATATTGGCAATGTCATTTGGAGTTGCCTTCTTTTAATAGTACTGTCAGTAGTCATTCTTTAGTCTTTAACAGTTTTTTTTGTTTTTTTTTGTAATCATTTCAACCTAAGCAGGGCAATAAAGCCACTAAGGTGCAAGAGGATTACTGAGTGTTAAAGAATATGAGAAAAAAAAACACAGTTAAGGAGAGAGAACAGTAAAAGAACAAGAATTAAAAAGACAGAAGATAACAACTGACATTGCATTTAAATTTTTGAAGATCAAAGTTGGCCTGCAAGCAAGAAGCCAAAAGAGATTTCTAAAAGCAAGAAGTGTGATAGAAAAAACTGTTAACTTAGAACTTAGTTACATCTAGTCATTTCAAATGTAAAGTGATGAAATCTTGTGCTGCACTTAAATTCATGAAGTCTGTCAAATTTATAAAGTGTTAGTCATCTTTTTGAAGTTGTAGTAGACAAATATAAAATAATTCTTTTTGGGACCACAATTATAATAGTCTGTTCTGTATTCTAGTTTAAATTAGATCTTTGATTTATCAGGGTGATTATGATCTCATTTCCTTTTTTTTTTAAGTTCTACGAATGGAAAGTATTTTTTCAGTCTATTTGGAATGCTTTATATACTTAAGTCCACTTTTTAATTGCATTTCTTTTTTATCTTTATTTTTGTTTTCCAGAAAACTGAAATGGTTAATACTTCAAAAGTGTATATTATAAAATATCAATTCAACCAGTAAAACAAAATGATGCTTTCAGTTTTTAATATATTTCTAGTTATATAATTTGACCAAATAGGGGGTCCATAAAAACTGATTCCCTTTTAACCAAATAGACAGATTTGACACTATGTGCCTATGTACCACATTCTTGTCTTATGTATAAATGTCGGACACATCTCTCTTCTGTCCCATCTTGTAATGTTAAGCAATGAAAACAATTCATTTGTCTACCAGTCTGGCCTCTCATTACCAGTTCTGAGAAATGGTATCTATCTTTTGATGGATGCTGCTGCTGCTGCTTCAAATAATACAATTTACTGCATGATTTTATTTTTTCCTTTGTCTTAGGTACTAACTAAAAAGAATTTATCTCCAGTCTGTGTTGTTTATTACTACTGATGGAACAAATCAATTTTTAGTGGAAGACATTTTACACACACACACACACACACACACTTTTGAAGAATTTCAGTATCCTATATAATTCATCAGATCAATGGTGCCTTTTAAGTCAAAAAATATGTAAAGAAATGTCATAAAAAATGATTCTTATCTGCAAAAATAAAAATTAAAAATTTGATGTCAGCATTATAGAGGATTTAAGGGCAATTTCTTTTGCTAGCCTTCATTTTTGGTAGATGATAATGAAGACTGCCATTTTGTTTCTCTAGTCTATACACAGATTTTAGAAGAACCCCAACTTTCACTATTAAATGCTTTGATTTTTATCAATTAGATTAATAATGTTTTTAAATATAAAATATAATAAAAAGAGTAATTTTGTAATAAGACAGAAACATTTGTCTTTATATGAACAGTAATTCTTGATTTAAAATAAATGACAATAATAGAAAAAAAGGGTTATTTTGATATATTCAGGAATTAACACATGCAAGCATATCTCCCTAAAATATTTTGTATACTTGAATTTGTTTATGCTTTTATTCTGTTTATTGCCTTGATTAAGAAAAAAAAATATTTGAATTTTGTTTTCAAAATGTTTTTTCTTTAAATTTTTTTAAAACTCTTACAAAAAAGAAAAAACATTTTTACTTACTGTCCTCTTGCAGAATTTTGAACAATTTGTCTTTGAATCTCTCTCTAGCATATTGTGAAAAAAAGGCCATTGTTATTAATTCTCCTCAGAAACGTTTTAACAACTATGGATTACATGCAAAGATATAAACTAAATTTTATAACAGCAGTCTATTTGTTAGACATGTTTGATTAAAGCTATGATTGGGCTGCCAAATTGCACATTGGCACGCTCTCTGATATTTTGACACTTGCATTTTCAACATTATAAAATGAAATTTGAAGGAATTAGAAAATTGATTTTAAAAGAAATGTATGTTTCTTTTTTAACAATATGGTGAGAAAAAGAAAATAAATTTGCATTACTTAATATTTTTGAGAATTAAAATAAATTCCTTTTGTTGTACTTTATAAAATTAATACATTAATGAAAATGAGTGTTTTTGTTCATTGTTTGTATAATAATAATAATCTGAAAAAAGTAAAAGATTAGGTATGTTGAGAGAATTGTGTATCATGAAGATAACAGTTCTGCAAGTCATTATTGTAGCACTGAAGAGCCTAAGAAAAAGATTAGAAGAACTGGAAATAAGTGGAAAGGTTGGAACAACATTATTAAAACTAGCAAGTAGGATACTAAAATGAGTGTTGTAGTATTAAGGAGGCTTGTTCTCATTGAATGTCCAGTGCAAGCAATCAATAGCTACTGCTGTAAACAAACAATGAGTTGAGTAATGATGATAAAAAGAAAATTTATGTGTTATCAAATTGTTTGGGACGTTTATGAAAGCTGAGAAAATTAAAAAAAAAAAAAAAATTTACATTATGGTAACATTTATTTTCAAATAAAAATTTATTAAAATTGAAAAATTTGAGGATAAAGTTTACTTTGATCTCCCAAACTGCACTGGAATAATTATGAACTTACTCAATTTTTTTCTAAAAAATATTTACAGTAGAACAGAAATAACTAAACATACATTTTGATAATTTTTTTCAAAATCTAAAAGAGAAATCATTTTTATTATCAACTAAGATTATTTAAAAGTTAAATACTTAAAAGTTAAATTACCAGAAACTATACCATGATTATTCTCTGTTAACTTATAACAATTCTGAGATCTAAATGATTGGGTTAATCTCCATATAAATCAAAAGATGGTAGATTCTGTCAAATTTTGTCAATACTGAAATGAACGTCATTGTTATTTAAGTTGTTGGGTGATAGAATTTAATTTTTTTTACAATGTGATTTTTGGTATTTATTTTCAATGGAAAAATTAAAGTTGTTAAGATAAAATAAGATGATGAATAAATGAAAGAAATAATATCTTAAGAGAAAATGGTAATCAAATTAGACTTTATATATTTATCAATCACTTCTTAGTAACAACATATTCTTTTGTTATGGTAACATAAGATAATATTCTATGTCACTCAAAGCAAACCAGTCATGTATTACTATAATAATGGAACTAATGAGTGAGACCAGGTTGCTAATACATTTTGTTTTTTTATTTGGTAGTTTTCTTTTGATATCTTTACTTTTAATGATTTTTTTTTTAAAAAAAAGAGCAAACTTGTTTCTTTATGATTCTTACTTCCCAACAGCAAGTTGTAATTAAGGAAGGCAAAAATGAATTGCTTGGCATTAGATGGAACCTTAGGTTATAAGATAACACACAGAAATAAAATGCATAGTTTTATAATAAAACACAGCATATATATGTACTTTCTGTGTGCCATACTTTTCTGGAGTACATATTCTGAATATAATTCTTCTTCTGGTGACCTAGAAATTATCATTATTCAACAGTGAATGTTTAGTTGAATACTCCAGAACATTGGTTCCCAAAAGTCACAATGGAAGAGGTTAGTAGGTTAGGTGGAAAGACAATCAAACAGTTTCAAAAAATTCATATGCCAAAAATAAATATGATTTCAAAATTTAAATATTATGCACTACTTAAATAATTATTAACTGATTTTATCATTGTGATATTTTTGCATTATATCAAGTATTAAGAATATAGTAACTAGGGTTTGCAAATTAGAGGAGAGAGTTATCAATGATAATGTTCTAACTTCAAATCCGCGTTTATCTCCCTCTAACCCTCTCTCTCTTTCTTATATTTTTAAACGTACTTTTATTATCACATAAAATTTGGTAAGGTGTTAGCAAATTTTCATTCCAAAAATGCATCCCAGAGAAAAATAAAGTTTGGGAACTACCGTTCTAGAAGCATTGAACATAAACTAGAAAATTTAAGGAATTTTTTTTCCCTAATATTTGTATGAATACAAAGCA